TTTGGGGAACTTTATCTTGAGAACCTAGTTGCCTAAGGGCAGGGGAACCTAATCTTGAGAACCCAGTTGGTTGAGAACTTGGTTTGTTGAGAATCTCGTTTCCTAATGTTTGGGAACCTTATCTTGAGAACCTAGTTTCCTAAGGTTTTGGAACCTTATCTTAAGAAATTAGTTTCCTAAGGTTTGGGGAACCTAATCATGTGAACTTAGTTGGTTTAGAATATCTTATCTTGACAATCTAAGGTTTAAAACTTAGTTTTCTGAAGTAAGGAACCTATCACTTGATATTGGTTTAAATATCAGTTTTAATCACAGGAATTGAAAAAGAATTTTTATATGAAATAGCAGAAAACGTTTAAAACATCTGAAGGGTGATTTGGACGTTTTTTTGTATAAAAATATGAGTGTCAATTTATATCAAAATCAAAATTATATCACAGCAATTATTTCTTAAAATGACCCAATTACCAGTAAGGGGTTTGAAATATTTGAAACAGGATGGGGTTGGTTTAGGACGGTTTGCTCTGAGATGGTATTAACACTGCCATAATGACAGGGTTTGTCCAACGAGTTATTATTGGCTAGATTTCCGCCGAAAACTGTTAAAAATATCTTGGGATCCTGTCTTTATTCATTCAATTTCTTATTGATTTTGGACTGATAACGTCGACGATATATTTGAAACATATGTAAAAGTTACAAATTTTTGAAAACAATTCAAATTCTGGACTGTTTCATGTATAACTAGCTGAAGGGCCCGGCGTTGCCCGTGGAAAACAAAAATTTCATCCCAATCGGTTCAGCCGTTTTGCCGGCTATACGCAACATATATCTAAATACGAATGTCTTGTTTTATTATATAGAAGATTAGCTAAAGGGCCCGGCGTTACCCGTAAAAAAAATTTAAATAAATATTTTGAAAAAAATATTTAAAAGAAAAAAATTTCGAATTTTTTTAGCCTATAACACCCCCCGCCACCCCTGAGTGTTCACAAAAAAATTCAGCCCATTTTTTCATTTTTTTTTCAACAATACTTATTCATCAGATTATCATTTAAGAGTTTCAGGTTGTCATTAAAGTTTATTTTGACTGGTTATGAAACCAACAAGTTTAATTTCATCCTTATTGGGTGAAAAATTCAAGATATAGGAGTTACGAGGTCACAAATTGTTACCCGTAGTTCTCCCTTACTTTGTTAATAATATAGATAATCTTTGATCAACATACTTTACTATTAAAGGTTTCCAATAGGATATCCATGGTATAGACTATAGAACCATTTGAAAAGATTTCTCTCCATTTTTGTCTTTGTTTCCTGGTTAGAGGCTTCTAAATGTTCTCAGGATTATTGTGAACCATGAGTGAATAAATTCATTAGTTTTGGGAAAACTTGGCAGACTTTCAGAATTAAGATTCCCAGTAGTTCTTACCGCGTGAGAATCCTTTTTATTGTCAAATCTTTCTCAGGATCCTTCTTAAACCATTCTTCTTAACCATCTGGTATCTGTATCCTTCTTGTGGACATTGTTTTTGGTATAGGTAGTATACTATACTGCATCTGGTATGATTATATTTAAATTAATTCTGGAACAGTGGAGTATACTTTATCTGATAGTAGAGTATATTAGTAGAGTATATTGTATCTTGTAATGTGTAGTGGAATATATTGTATCTGATATGATGCAGTAGAGTATATTGTATCTTGTAATGTGTAGTGGAATATATTGTATCTGATATGATGCAGTAGAGTATATTGCATCTGGTATGATGCAATAGAGTATATTGTATCTGGTTTGATGCAGAGGAGTGTATTGAATCTGGTATGATGTAGTAGAGTATATTGTATCTGGTATGATGCAGTAGAGTATACATTTTAAAGAGGAGTATACAAATGTGTACTGTATAATATTATCGAATCTGTTTGAGTGGAGTAAAATTTATCTGATGCAGTAGAGTTTATTGTATCTGGTATGGTATTGTAATATATTGTATCTGGCATGGTATTGTAATATATTGTATCTGGTATGGTATTGTAATATATTGTATCTGGTAAAGAGAAATATAATTGAACCTCAGAATTATATCTATGAAAGGATTTATACTATAAAGTATCTGTACGTATCTAGGTACAGTACAGTATACAGCACTATGTGTAGGGTAGGGTGGAATGAAAGTATGTATGTTATAAAGTATATGTATCTAGGTACGGTATACAGCACTATGTGGAGGGTAGGGTGGAATGAAAGGATGTATGTTGTAAAGTATATGTATCTATGTACAGTATAAAGCACTATGTGGGATGAAAGGATGTATATTGTAGAGTATCTTATTTAGGTACACTATACAGAACTATGTGTAAGGTAAGGTACCTTGGGGTAGGGTGGGATGAAAGGATGTATACTGTAGAGTATATGTATCTAGGTACAGTATACAGAACTATGTGTAAGGTAGGGTGGAATGAAAGGATGTAGGTATATCGGATAAATTCCACTGTACCAGGGTTGAATACAATGCTAAACTTGTTGACAATGGTTTCAACTTGAATAGAGAAAGGAAAAATATTTTCCGAGTAAATCAGCGATAGAACGTCCTTCTCACCCTTCGGAAAACAAATTAAATAAAGTATCTGTTTAAGACTGGGAACGTGGGAAGAGTGCTTATATTGTAGAATTTGATTAAATATGTATATATTCAAGGAATATGGATTCATATTGAAAGTAGGGACTACTCCTTCTACTACTTTAACTACTATCAACTACTGCACTCATATATTTCATGAATAAATAAATAAAATTGTTTGCCTAATCCAGTCTGAAGGGTGCTTGTCTCAACCATTACATTTACATAATATACTAATCAGTAAACCCAATTATAATTTCAAATAAAGGATTAGGATAGGATCCCTGCAGGGTTCAGACAGTAGCTCAGGGTGGGATATTGAACAGGAGAGCTCAGATCTATTCAGTTACTCTGTACTCATAAACCTGGCAAAAATGAAGTTAATTGAAAGCTTGGACTGATAAAAACATAACTATAAACTGAATGTTCTAGATATCTAGAAATATATTCTGAATATCTAGAAATATATTCTGAATATCTAGAAATATATTCTGAACATTTAGAAATATAACTTTGACATATAACAAATATATTCAGAATGCCTAGAAATATAGCATGAATTTATATTTCATGTACGGAATATATTTCGTATATATCCTAAAAGCATATCTCAAAATATTTTTAAATCCAACAAAGAAATATTTGAATATCTAGATTGTAATGGTTTCTTTCTAAGCTTGTGAAAATATTTCCCAGGCCCCAGTAATGTATTCTAACATTTCAGCCATGGTTCGCATTGTTTAATGAAAATCTAAGATTCTTTCTTCGTGAATTAGAGTTTAAGGAATTAGAGACTCATTTCAAACATTTATAAAAGGAATTCAGCTGTGAACCTAGAAACCTTAGGAGAACCAAGAACCCTACAATTGGGACAGAATAATTTAATGTTAAAGATGAGATCTTAGGAGAAGCAAGAACCATACAGCTAGGACAGAGAAATATAATGTTGGAGATGAGACCTTAGGAACACCAAGAACCCTACAGTTAGGACAGAGAAATATAATGTTGGAGATGAGACCTTAGGAGAACTAAGAACCCTACAGCTGGGACAGAGAGAAATATAATGTTGGAGATGAGACCTTAGGGGAACCAAGAACCCTACAGTTGGGACAGAATAATTTAATGTTGGAGATGAGACCTTAGGAACACCAAGAACCCTACAGTTGGGACAGAATAATTTAATGTTGGAGATGAGACCTTAGGAACACCAAGAACCCTACATTTAGGATAAAATAGTTTAATCTTGGAAATGAGTCCTTAGGAGAACCAAGAATAGTATAATATTAGAGATGAAATCGTAGGAGAAACCAAGAACCCTTAACTAGTAAGGATATAATAATATAATCTTGGAAATGAGACCTTAGGAAAACTAAGAATCCTTCAGTAAGGATAGAATAGTATAATGTTGGAGAGAGACCATAGGAGAATCAAGAACCCTTGCTAATAGTTTATTTTTTGATCTTAGGGAAAACCTAGAACCCTACAGTAAGGATAGAATAGTTTAATCTTGGAGATAAGACCTGAGAAGAACGGAAAACCTCTTGCAAGAATGGAAAGATGAAATCTTGGGGGAAACAAGAACCCTAAAGCTAGGATGAGATTGTTAAGATTTGGAGATCTTAGAGAGACCCAGAAACCTAAAGAAAGAATATAATAGTACAAAACAGTATACATGCTCCAACCTACAGTCTACAGTCTACAGTCTACAGTCTACAGTTTACAGTTTACAGTCTACAGTCTATAGTCTACAGTCTACAGTCTACAGTCTACAGTCTACAGTCCACAGTCTACAGTCTAGTCAACAGTTTAGAGTCTGTAAAATACAGTCTACAGTCTCCAGTATACAGTTTACTGTCTACAGTCTACAGTCTACTGTCTACAGTTTACAGTCTACTGTCTACTGTCTACTGTTTACTGTCTACAGTGTACAGTGTACAGTGTACAGTCTAAGTCTACAGTCTACAATCTTTGGCCTACATTCTACAGACTTCATTCTATAATCCAGATTCTACGTTTCACAGTATACAGTCCTAAAAGTATTTTTCAGAACTCTATTGCGTATGCCTTTTTATTATATCTGATTAACATCAAGTCCCGATTTCAAAAGTTATTTTGTGTGTGATTTATTTTAATTTAATATGCGGCAGTTGTTGTAAAAACACAAGGATCCTTATTATTTTCTATACATTTTCTGCATACACAGATAATCTATACTCTGAGAACAAATCTGTGAGAACTACTTGCTCAATTAAGACCCTGTCCTTATCTTAGTATCTTTAACTGAAAAGATAAGAAATCCGCAAACTATAAACTAAGAACGGACCAAATATTAGCGAACATTTATACTTCTGACAACTTCATAAAAATAAATTAATAAAAATGAAACATTTATGAATTTTTATTTTCAAGAATAAATCAACAACTTTTTAATAATAAAAAATATATATATTCTAACACTAAAGTTGACAAATTTTGTGTTATAATTGCACCAAAGTGTTACTGGAGAATTTTCTTCTAGGTTCAGAGATGAATATTCATTTAAAACAAAATAAAATATTTCTATACTCTACAGGATAAAATATAAAGCATTAATCTTGTGTTTCCGGAAAATGTTGCCATATGCACAGCTGACCAGCCGTCTCTAGAGGTCAATCTTACATCAGCTCCGTATCCAATCAAGGTTCGAGCAACTCCTACTTCTCCTCCGGACTGGCAGACAAGCTGAAGCGGTGTTACTCCGTCCTCCCCATACTGATTAATATCAATCTTATCACTGTTCTTTAATAAAAAATCCTTTAGTTCCGTCTCATTGGAATTTTCTAAAAGCTGAAAAAGTTCTTTCTGCAGAGATCTGTTGATAAATCTCTCAGAGGATTCGCAAATTCTTGTTTTGATCGGAAGTGTTAAAGAAGGAGAAATAGGAGAGAGCATTTTCTCGTAGATAGTTCCTCGGTAACAAGGTTTCTTGAAACTTACTCCGGAGTCCTCGCCTTTTCTCTTCATTGTCATTTTTTGATTAATCTCAGTTGGTGTTTGAATAACAATCATGTTGTATTATCTGGATTCAGGATTCGGCTGTAAGAGCAGTGTCGGTGTTGCCAGCTCCAGAGTTAGGTTTGAACTGGCGAGAAGCCGGTACCGTGGGAACCTTCTTGCTCCAGTCTACCCGCACACCAGATAAAGAATGTGTAAAGTGATTTGGGAAAGGAATTTTAATTTGATGTGTGGGGCAAAGCAAGGTGGTGGCTTGAGATGACCAACCCAACCTATGCCTGGTTATTTTCACACTAAAGTAGGTTCTAGTTCACATGTATTTAAACCCTAGAACAGGTCCTTAAACCCTCAAGCAATCCTTACTCCGTATCTCGGTAGTTTAGGTAATGAGGACTCTTGAAAATGTAAAAATTCCAAAAATCCCACTCGTTGTAAACTCACAATAAGGGGCGCTGGGAGGGAGAAAATTACTGATATTTTTTCTTGTGGAATTTATCCGAAATTTTGTAAAAAAAAACTCACTTAAGTCCCACAGACAGTTCAAATGGAATATGTGTAATAAAATATGCTCATTTCTCAAATTAAAGTGAGAAGTATTTGGGGAACAGCGTTTTAGCGAGTAAATCTTTTCAGACCTTTTCCACAGCTTCTTTAAAACTTTAGAATAGAATAGAGTAGGTTGGTAAAGACAAATAGTAATTTTTAAAGAATAGTTCATTTGAAATAAAAATACATTATTAACGTTTTTACTAATCTTGAAGAATAAATATTAATTTGATTTGGTAGATTTACTAGAATTTTTCCGCTCTTGAACGTTTGAACGTCAACAAAAGAAAAATTAGGATAATTAATTTAGCGTTATGTTTTGTAAAGCGTTGGAAATGTTCTGATTGGAATTTAATGTTGGGTATAAAGGTTCGGCTCCTTCTGAAGGAACGGATATGAATCTCCTCTTCTTTTATCCAGGAGTAGTTCCCAGGAGTTGAAGTTCTCAGGACGTTAGTTTACCATGGGATTATTCTAGGTTTATTCCGAACCTTGATCTCGGGTCCAGTGTCCGACGGTAAAACCATAAATATCTTGCTATTAATAGAAACCCGACTAATCCATTGATACCCCCCTCCCCACTCTCACCAAACATTGTAGTCCCACCAATAAATACAATTTTAATCCCTTCTAGTTTTCAACCGAGAACTTATATTTGTATTCACGTTAACACTGAGCCTTACAAAACATGATGAAAAGTTAGGTTTATGTTTTTCACTGCTTAGGGAAAACCTCTCTTCTTTCTTTCTTACTTCAATAGAACTGGTTAATATTAAGGTTCAGGAGAACTGGTCGGTTGGAGTTAGCTCATCGTGGGAAACTTGAACCCAAACCCTAATCCGTTCTTGATACGCTCTCGAGGAGAAGGACAACCATTCTTCATCTCTAGGTATATATTATATATTGGAACACACACGCATCAAACTCTGTTAGGATACAACCTCATACATTTAACAGGAAACACATTCAACAAGAACTTCTTTCCTCCCAGAAACCATTATCAATCCTATCCAACGATTTTTTCGTTATTAAGGACGTTTTTCTTTGTATTCCAATGCTTTTCTAAATGAATTTTGTATGTACAAAATTTTGAGTTTTTCTTAACACAAAATTCAACCATTTAGGTGTGCTTGCATTGACGTGAAGAACAAAATTAAAATTGCAAATTATTATTTTTCAAACGTTTGAAGAAATAACATGGAAATTGAATAAAGGAGTTGAGTTTTTGCCACAACCTCTGATTTTCTAATCCCTATATCTTTTGAACCCTATGTCGTAAACCTTTGATATTTCAAACTTATATTATTTGGAAGGGGGAAGGTTTTGCTGAAACATTGATTCAAAAACCAATTTGAATTTCAATGAGGAACAATGTACAATATAGATGAAGGAAATCAAATAAAGAATAAGGACGGACTCAAGGTTTCGTGATGTATGATATTGGCTGAGATAGATATATTTACCAATTCTTCTACGACTTTTATACAAGTTCAATGCCCCCCCCCCTTACGCTAAATGCATTTTGCACTGGTGCACAATGTAGGACACATATGCAACGCGCAATTAAATGCATTTATAAAAGTTTCAAATACTTGAGATTCTATAAAATGCAAGCTTATTTGAACTGCATTTCGTAGCTTGCATCGTACTTTGTATAATCTAGTTAACATGGTTAAGTTCAAATTCAACGAAAGAATACTTTCAGCTAACGTATAATCTCTTGATACAGCTTCTTATTCTCTTTAATCCGACCCTGCAAATAAGACAAATCAAATCTCTCTGGCGAATATAAAAAGAGAATATAAAATAAACTATAAGTAGGAAAAGAAAAGAAAATGTTTAACCCGTAAAGGCGTGGGAACACCTGAGCTGGGTTCGGGCCGGGTCAATTCCTCTCTTCTCTTTGACAGTTCACAGTTGCTACTCGGCACTCTAAGTGCAGGGATCCGCCCCCTGTGCTCCGAAGCGTCTCCTGCCCCTACCTTGAGATATTCTCAACCTGCCTTCACCACTTCGTTCACCGTTCAGAGTCTTTACGACGAGCAGAAGCAACCTTCAGCTAAATCTGCGGAAAAATCCAACCATAGTTACGATCCTTTTACAGGTAATAATTCCTTCCTTCACACTTATTTTACAATTGTAAAGATTGAATTGCTTGTATGTCAATTTAAGTTGGTAAATACCCCCTCAACGATATTATACCGGCTTCCCTAACACATGTTTACACTGAAACCCTAGATTTTTACCAATGTTGACATATGTGTATTGTGTAAACTCAGAAACAAGTTCAATATATCATTTATTTTTAAGGTTTACTCAGCTCCGGGTACTTGATATAGCTCAGGATGAATTTCTATTGTTTGGATGAGACTGCCCATTCCCCAGCCAGCTCAGTTTCACAGATGAGTGTGGGATCTGACCCCAGTCCCGCCCCCTCTCCCTCCTGCCCCTCCCCCTCCTCCCCCCACTCACCTGAAACATCCTCCTACAGGTAAACAACAATCTTTAGAACAAATTCAACTTATCCTTAATCTTCAATTTTAAATTGTCTTTCGCGTTCAGAGCATTCAAATCTTATTTTTGGATTATCAATTTTACAAGTTAAAATTTGATATTTAGGATTTACAGAAATTTTATTATATTTCTAGGTATAAGAACATTTATGAAGAAAGGTTGGAACCCCTGTACCCTGCAAGGACGGATACAACCCTTCTCCGTCCTATGCCCAAATCCACACACAGGAGTGAATATGATTCCGTCCTGCAGAAGAAATTTGATATTCTGGTAGAGCAGAGGAACTATCAAGAATTAGAAGATCTGCTTCGATCCTCCAGCCACTGTATCAATATCAACCAATACGATTCAGTCGGACAAACTCCTCTTCAGAGTTTCTGTATGAGCGGAGATCTGAATCTTGTTCAGCTGATGGTTAGGTACGGAGCAGATACTCAACTCAGTTCTAGGGATGGTTGGTCTACTCTACACTATGCTTCCTATAGCGGGGTTCAGGAGGTCCTCCTCTGTGTGCTCCGATGCTGCCCCCGGAGATAGAACCCTGCGTCAAACCTGGATATTTAGTGCCATTCAAGTTTCGGGTTGAATTCAAACCGTTAAATTCGGCCCGAAATTCGTGTAATTCATTCAGATCGTCTTCCTCATTCTGATCCATGCAATGTTTGGTTGTGATAAACGGTCCAATACAAGGGGGTCTAACAAGAAAACTAGGTTCTGTCAAGTCTATCAAGGGTTGTGAGTAGTTTGAATATCTACTAGCTCTTGAAGATCTATGAAACCTATAAACTTAAACTGCAATATCTAAAGTCACTAATCACAAAGTAAAATATTAAGTATTTCCGTCCACAAGATCTATGTTAAATTTCATGTATTTGTTATATGAATAGTGTGCATTCACACATGTGTTTTCTGTATATTATATATGTATGTATACATTTATGAAACAAATAAATTGTTAATTTCTTATTATTTAACTCTTTCATAATTTTAAAACGGAGTTCCGGCAGATTTGCCATTTTAATGCTCTTTTGATATCATTATACAGAGATAAGTGCCAATACAATTTAGTTTCTTAGAAACCCTTCAAATCCATCATTCTTGTAATATTAGATCAAGAAACCAGTCTCACAATTTACATTTTCCTACCATGGGATGAGAGGATGGATTAAAATATGTCCAATGTTAGAATAAAAGGTTGAACCAAGTACCAAGGTTGTGTCCAGTTTGATAGGATTGGTATCCGTGGGAACTCAAGCTCTCAGCCTTCTCCCATCCCACCCTAGTTCATAGCCTCAGGGGTATAGGTCTTAGGTAGACATGGAGACTGGGATATACACAAATATTATAGGTAATAGAAATACATAGTACATAGTTGATAAAATTTAGTTAATGATGACATTGAAATATTCTTGAAACTCTAATTAAATTATTAAATAATAACAAGAAATCTCAGATATGATTACAAATAGATATCTCTGGTAGAATCGATTGATTGAAATATTTTAAGTAGAATCGAACAAATAGAGATAGATTTAGATATTATAGACTTAAAGAGATATTTTAGGTAGACACTGATAGATTTAGATATTATAGACTTAAAGAGATACCTAAGGTAGACACTGACAAATTGAGATACACTTATGATATATCTTAGGTAGACAAGTATACATTGAGATATTTAGACACGATTACATTGAGATATCTTACGTAGACACGGATATATTTAGATATTTAGGTAGACATTGATACAATGAGAAATCTTATGAGATAAGGATACAATGGGATATCTTAGGTAGACACGGATACATTGAGATATCTAAGGTAGACACGTATATATTGAGATATCTAAGGTAGACACGGATACATTGAGATAGATATATCTTGGTTAGACAAGGATACAATTCGATATCTTAGGTAGACATGGATACATTAAGATATCATAGGTAGACACAGATACATTGAGATATATTAGGTAGACACGCATACATTGTGAAATCTTATGAGATAAGGATACAATGGGATATCTTAGGTAGACATGGATACATTAAGGTATTTTAGGTAGACACGGAAACATTGAGATATTAAGGTAGACACGCGCGGATACATTGAGATATTTTAGGTAGACACGGATACATAGATATATCTTAGGTATAGAAACGGACACATTAAGATATCTTTGGTAGACATGGATACATTAAGATATCTTGAATGGACATGGATACATTGAGATATATTCTGTAGAAACGCATACATTGAGAAATCTTATGTAACACTGATATATAGAGATAATTTAGGTAAACGCCGATATATAGAGATAAGTTAGAGATTAGTTTAGTTTAGTTTAGTTTAGTTTAGTTTAGTTTAGTTTAGTTTAGTTTAGTTTAGTTTAGTTTAGTTTAGTTTAGTTTAGTTTAGTTTAGTTTAGTCTAGTTTAGTTTAGCATGAAAAACGTTTAAAGAAATTTATAGCTTATGTTGTCGGCTGGTTCGAACAGGGGTTGGTTTCGGGTCTGAGTAAAAGGTTTCGGCTTGTTTGATCCGGAGCTCATCCACAGGTTCTCTGACTTGCTTTTTTTTATAAAAAATATCATCGCTTATAGGCTTTCTTGTAATATCAAATGAAGGAAAATGGGATGAAAGAAGGATGTTTTAAGAATGATTGAGTTGAATTGGATGGATTTGGATGAGAGTTTAAATAAATTCTAATTAAAAGTTAGGAGGGACAAGTAATAAATATGAAAAGAAGAGAGATATGCATGAGTGGACTAACTTTGATGAGTGGGAGGGTTGGATGATCAGAGGGTAAGTTGGATGAGAGTATTAAAAGAGGAGTAGGTTGAATGAGTGGAAGAGGTGGGATAATTAGAAGAATATAGAATAAGATGGGAAAAGTGGATGAGGTGGTATAAGTGGATAAAGTGGTAAAAGTGGATAAGGTGATATAAGTGGATTAGGTGGTATAAGTGGATGAGGTGGTATAAGTGGATGAGATGGTATAAGTGGATAAAGTGGTATAAGTGGATGAGGTGGTATAAGAGGATAAAGTGGTAAAAGTGGATAAGGTGATATAAGTGGATGAGGCGGAGTAAGTGGAGAAAGAGGATGAGGAAGGATAAGTGGATGAGGGGGATACGTTAGGTATGGTGGAATAAGTTAGCTAAAGTGCAATAAGTGGAGAAATAGAGATTCGATGGGATAAGCTAATGGATGGAAAGATGAAAGGGTTGGATAGGTGGAGGAGAAACTTTGAGATGAGGTAAAGATGCCAAGAGGGTAAAGATGCCAATAGGAGATTATTCTAGAAATTTGATATATTTTAGGGTTGAGTAGAGGCAATCTACATGTGAGAGCTAGGGTATGGGGGGGGGATGATGCTGTTTATACTGTGTGAAAACTTGAATTCATTCGGTCATGGTTCCTGGTTCCCCTTCGTTCCCTTAGTCCAACAGGTGGATTTTGACCGGTTACATACTATTAATGCGGTTATCAAGTCTCGCCCAGTATAATTGATCCCAGCCCGGCAGGTTATTCAGGGACTGCGTGGGAACCAACCAATCCTAGTCGGATTCTCCAAGCTGATCCTGGGACCCGGAGCCACGGATCTGAGTTTAGAAGTGTAGGTTGCGTTCTCACGAGGTGATACAGGCTCTCACACTCCTTATGGAAATTCTCACAGTGAGAGGCCTGGAATTCTAGAGATTAGAGATTAACCTAAAATGTACAGAAAATGTTCAGAAAATACTTACTGCACTGTACACTGTACACTGTACACTGTACACTGTACACTGCAAACTGTAATGTACACTGTACACTGTAAACTGTACTGCAGTTTAATGATTTATACTTTTCACATAAGCAAACATTCGGGAAACTCTCTGTTCTCTATCTTTTTGAAATGTATAACGAAATTATTAATTAAACAATCGTTATTTGAATTAATTTTTTTGAAGCACCTCCAGTTACCAAGGAAATTATCTTTGAATATGCGTCAGTCCAATTTCTGGTTTCAACTTCAAGTTGGTTTCCGTCATGTGAAACTTCAAGTTGGTTTCCGTCATGTACAACTTCAAGTTGGTTTCCGTCATGAAAAACTTCAAGTTGGTTTCTGTCATGTTAAACTTCAAGTTGGTTTCCGTCATGTAAAACTTCAAGTTGGTTTCCGTCATGTAAAACTTCAGGTTGGTTTCCGTCATGTAAAACTTCAAGTTGGTTTCCGTCATGTACAACTTCAAGTTGGTTTCTGTAATGTAAAACTTCAAGTTGGTTTCCCTCATTTAAAACTTCAGGTTGGTTTCCGTCATGTAAAACTTCAAGTTGGTTTCTGTCATGTAAAACTTCAAGTTGATTTCTGTCATGTTAAACTTCAAGTTGATTTCTGTCATGTTAAACTTCAAGTTGGTTTCTGTCATGTAAAACTTCAAGTTGGTTTCCCTCATTTAAAACTTCAGTTTGGATTCCGTCATGTAAAACTTCAAGTTGGTTTCTGTCATGTAAAACTTCAAGTTGGTTTCCGTCATTTAAATCTTCAAGTTGGTTTCCGTCATGTAAGACTTCAAGTTGGTTTCTATCATGTAAAACTTCAAGTTGGTTTCCGTCATGTAAAACTTCAAGTTGGTTTCCGTCAAGTAAAACTTCAAGTTGGTTTCCGTCATGTACAACTTCAAGTTGATTTCCGTCAAGCAAAACTTCAAGTTGGTTTCCGTCATGTAAAACGGAATTTGTTATCTTCGATTCGCTTGAAACTAACGCTTAGACAGACTTATTACAATCGGGACCAATTTTTTTGTGTCAACTGACATGACTGAAGAAAGGGGTTATGAATGGTCCAATTTGAAAAAAAGTTTGCCCGAAATATTCATGTTTTGGAGAACGAAGAAAAATGAAGAGTAACAGCTGTGTTAAAAAGAAAGGGCTTGTTTAGTAGAGAATTTGTTTATATTTGTTTTAGAAAGGGGGCACAAGCGTCCTAGAAGGCTTTTATAGTAGAAGGTTTATTTAGAGGGAGGGAGGAGGGGAGGGAGTGAGGGAGGGAAATTATGTAGAATTAAGTAACAAGGTAGTGATTATTCCTCGCATATAAAAAATGTTTACAGTATCTTTAAATTAGAATACTGAAGACGTTAAGCGCCTCTGCGTGCCCTAGTTTATTCTTTAAAACCGTGAATGTTTTGCACTTTAGATAATATATGAAGTAGGGTTAAGGATTAAGTGCTGGTTTGGCTAAAAACCAGAAAATGCAAATAGCGTAGTCTGGTAGCGCGGACATTTTACAAAGGTCCAGGGTTATCTTCTAAACCATCTCATCTAACCGAAGGACTCTTATAGTTTAGAAATTTAAAAACGACAAAAAGGACAAATATATAATTATTTAAACTTAAGTCAACGTTTGTAAACAACTAATCCGTTCAATTCTATATTTAACCGACAAATTGGACAAACAAGATAAAGATCAGGGCCCTAAACCAGAAGCCTGGGAATCAGAGAGTTTGAACTTTTTTGGCAAAATTTAACAATTGGATCAGAATATGATGGCAGGGCCGCAGCATATTCAAGATTTGATCAAATTATAGTATTTACAGATATTGGAAACCTAGACACGCGGACAGATCGTTTCAAACATTTTAACAAAAAAATTAATCCAAAAAACCTTATGTCAGTTCTAGTTTTCTATTTAAATACTGTGGTTTGTGTCAATTAGATTAGGATTATGGCAGGGTTTTTCATTCATAATTATTTTTACACAAATATCTCAATTATTTAATTTAAATCTTAATCACAGGGTCAAAGTTTTGACACTTTGCATGACAACCCATATTTTTTTAAAAACTTAAATAGTTTTAAAAAAGTTACTTTCTTGTTTTTACAACAATTTCCGTGATTTGGATGAAACAAATTTTCTCATTGTAAACCCTAGATTGTGACCTGCTGAACCCGACCTCTTTTTAAACCCCAGAGATCGAAACTTTAGGAATTGGAAAGAAAAAACTGAGTTTCAATGAAAAGTACAAAATTTCATTTAGAAGAAATATTATCGAAACTACTTAATCCTCAAAAACAAATTCTAAATCCAGAAAAAAAATAAGGTTTTTAAGCCATGTTCAATAATTTCTAAAGTTTCATCCTCCCCCCCCCTTTCAACTCGTCAAATGCATCCCTCCCCACATCCACCTCTCCCTCGCAACCCCCCTCCCCTCTCCACCCCTCCGCATCTCACGCCCCCCGACTATATATATTTTCCAACGCTTGACCCCGCTCACCCTCCCCGGCCCCACTGACCCTCGACACTAAGTATATATATATATATATATATAATAAAAACGTATACACAGTTTATATACAGTTTATGTACAGGGTTAACCTCAAAGAATAAGACTTCAGAGACGACTGTATGGAGCTGGTTTAGTTTGAAATATTTAAATTCAAGGTTCACCGCATTTTTGCATTTCTAGATTTCTGAACAAAATCTGTATTGTTAAAAATTCAACCTTTAAACCGTTAAAACATAAAAAAGTTAATCATTAAAGTCTCATCCTTTTTGAGCAACCCTGTAGGATACAGGTTAAAGCGTGGTATACGCTCAACAAAGCATTAACAATGGATTAAAAAAAGTTTCATAAACATTGGATTTATAAAAGATTTATTAAAATTTAAGATATGCTATTAAACTACTTAAAATGGAGTATTCGCTTCAAACAAGATTGATGAAAAGCAACATCTATTTGAGGAAAAATAAAGTATTAAAAGCAAAAGATGAAATGAAAAAAAGATAAAATGAAAAAAAAGAGAACATTATTTAAAGATTTTCTAAAATAAGATCGGTAGGATACAAACATTGAGGAAATAAGATAAAAATGCCGATACAACGGGATATTTTAATGAAATAAAATGAAAAAATTGGATATTTTAATGGAATACAATGATAAAATGGGATATTTTAATGGAATAAAATTATAAAATGGGATATTTTAATGGAATAAAATGATATAATGGGATATTTTAATGGAATAAAATGATAAAATGGGATATTTTAATGGAATAAAATGATAAAATGGGATATTTTAATGAAATAAAATGATAAAATGGGATATTTTAATGGAATAAAATGATAAATTGGGATATTTTAATGGAATAAAATGATAAAATGAAAAATAAAATGACGTATGGGGTAAGAGGTATAGGTTAAATAACGAAGGAAATATTAATGAATAAAATATAATTTTGAGTTAAAATTTTAATTTTAAGTTAAAAATATCTATAATTTAATTTAAAAACAGTGATGGAAGAAGAGTTGGGAAACATTTAAAAAAGTAAAAATTAAGTATTTAAGTTAAAATAATGTAAATTTTTTTTATCCCTGTTGATGAGTACGAACCACCTCTGACCCCGACCTAGCATGATACTGAAGACCATGATACAGGGACGAATAATGCTAACTCTGTAAAGCGACGTAAAAAACGCCTGCTCTCCTGTTCCATCATCAGATTATAAACTCCAGGGACGTTTCATCAACAAATCGAGACCATTTAGTCGCGAAACAAACTCCTACCCTTGATCAATTCTTAATCCAACCTATTCCTGATCCTAAACATTCGTCATAGAATCTATTCTTGAACCAATCCTCCCATTAATCCAACCTATTCTTGATTCAATTCATACTTGATCCAACCAAATCGAGATTCAATTCATCCTTGATCCAACGTATTCTAAATTAAATTCTATGATACAACCTGTTCCAGTTTCTATCTATTCTTGATCCAACATATTCTTGATTCGATCCATTCTTGATCCAATCTTTTCTGGATTTAATTCATCCTTGATCAAACCTATTCTAGATTCTTATCCTGTCTCTAAAATTACTCTAATCCTGTCTCTACAACCCCTCTGAAACGGTCTCTACAACCCCTCTGCTCCTGTTTCTACAATTCCCTCTGTTCCTGTTTCTACAACCTCTCTGATCCCGTCTCTACAACCCCTCTGATCCTGTCTCTACAACCCCTCTGATCCTGTCTCTACAACCCCTCTGATCCTGTCTCTACAACCCCTCTGATCCTGTCTCTTAATCCCCTCTGATCCTGTCTCTACAACCCCTCTGATCCTGTCTCTTAATCCCCTCTGATCCTGTCTCTTAAACCCTCTGATCCTATCTCTACAACCCCTCTGATCCCATTACTACAACCCCTCTGATCCGGTCTCTAAAATACCTCTGATCCTATTTCTACAACGCCTCTGAAACTGTCTCAACAACCCCTCTGATCCTGTCTCTACAACCTATATGTCTCTACAACATCTTTGATCCTGTCTCTATAACCCACCTGATCCTGTCTCTTCAACCCCTCTGATCCTGTCTTTACAATCCCTCTGAAACGTCTCTGCAACCTCTCTGACCCTGTCTCTACAACTCCTTTGATCCTTTTTCTACAACCCCTCTTATCCTATCTTCAACCCCTCTGCTCCTGTCTCTACAACCCCTATGATCCTGTCTTTTCAACCCCTCTGATGATGTGGCTTTAAACCCTCTGAATCTATCTCTTCAATCCCTCCGATACTATGTCTACGTCCCTGCATATATGATGCCTATGTTCTCACGCTCAGCATCTCCTCTATCTGATCTGTCCGTGGGAATTCTTGACTCCGTTCTACATTTTATCTGTTGGAACTTTTTTGTCATGTTATCCAACACGATAAGAAGTTTAGCGGCGAACCATTCGTACAAAGATTTGAATCCAACCTGAAATTTATGTCAAGTTCCGACATTCATATAATTCATAAATATGTTCAAGAAAATCTGATATATTTAATCTTCATCTGCAATTCAAACCTTCTTCACATACAAACTCTCCTCTCCTCCTACTCTCTTATTCTCCTACTTTTCTATTTTCCTATCCTCCTACTCTCCTACTTTCTGCTCTCCTACTCTCCTACTCTCCCACTCTCCTACTCTCCTACTCTCCTACTCTCCTACTCTCCTACTCTCCTACTCTCCTACTCTCCTACTCTCCTACTCTCCTACTCTCCTACTCTCCTACTCTCCTACTCTCCTACTCTCCTACTCTCCAACTCTCCTATATTTCAATCCTAATCCTGATGAAATTTATTTTTAAATGCAACTGGACACAAAATATTACAAATTAACATGAGCCAAGGTTGTGTAGAATCCATCGAACCTGGTCGAACTCTCAATTATACAAAGTTGAAGATTATCCAAACCTTGAGCTCCAAAGTATTTATCTTTAAACCCGTCATAAAAGGATTCATCGATGAACTGGGATCTTCGAATCCTCGATATTGGTCTTGAAACCTTGGCCAGGGTGATGTGAGGAATAAAATCGAAGCTGTTTGTGCTCTGCACCTTCTCCCCTAAAGACTCAAATTTAGTTTTGATAAACTCGATAAAATTCTTAAACAACACAGGATCCTTGGGATGTATTTCAGCATAGAGAACTCTGTGTCCGAAGTTGTTCAAGTGTTTAACTTCCAAAGTGTTATCTCCGGCTTTTAGAATCTTTTCAGCTTCTTCTTTTATACTCTCAACCATATCTACAGCTAGTTGTATACCCTGGATATCCATTAGTCTAAACATACCCAGAGTCATGTGAAACAAACCTTCCTTCATACAACAATCTCGGAGAATCTCCTCTTTACTAACCAAGGTTTCCTGAACCTTCACCAACTCAGATTTAAGATTTTTACAATTAATCTTCAAGGCGAGGAAATGAGTTGACCTGTCCTCCTCCAGTATCCGGGTATGGGTTTGCTCATGGTTTTGAGGTTTGAAATTTATTTTAGTTTCTCCGTTCTCTGAGTCTGAATCTGAATCTGAATCTGAATCCAGGTCAGGACTTGGATTGTCTCTGATGTTTGTGTCAACTTGATCCATAAACTCCAGAATTCCAACCTTGCTTCCTGTGCTCCCAAAAACGATGTCCAATCTCTCATTTTTATCCCAAACCTTGGCATTTTTGTACCTAAATATAAAGTATTTGATAAATGAATCCATAATCAAGAACACTTAGTATTAGTTTTCATATACAAGCCACAGAACTCGGAAACAGGAAGTTTTCATATACAACCAACAGAACTGGGAAACAGGAAGTTTTCATATACAACCCACAGAACTGGGAAACAGGAAGTTTTCATATACAACCCACAGAACTGGGAACAGGAAGTTTTCATATACAACCCACAGAACTGGGAAACAGAATGTTTTCATATACAACCCACAGAACTGGTAATCAGGAAGTTTTCATATACAACCCACAGAACTGGGAAACAGAATGTTTTCATGTACAACCCACAGAACTGGTAATCAGGAAGTTTTCATATACAACCCACAGAACTGGGAAACAGGAAGACGACTGTTGTGCAGTGTACACAGACACATTTCACATAATTGGGGAATCTTTAAGAGACTGGTAAAACTATATGCTTTAACCACATAAAATGCCATAAATGGATTTAATATCGTCTTCCTCTTCCACAGTTTTTTGGGGCTCACCATGTACATGAGTAGTCAGTACCTTCTTGCTTAACTGCAATACCCGTAATTATAATATTCATGACAAATATCGTCTTTTATTATTTTATCTTTTAATGATTTGTCTAGGTTATTTTAATGTATCTATCTGATCAAATATCCGATACAAGGATTAAGATATTTCAGATAAAAATAATGTTTTTACTAATTAGTGAATACTGTAATGCTAAAGTGGTAGGCGATGTTATCAATACAGTGAAGACGACTTTCGATTTCAATTTTGATTTATATCAAGCTGTTAAACCGCATGGATACTCATAAAGTCGTCTTCATTGTATTGATGTTATCGCCTACCACTGTATGTAAAAATTCCTACTTGAAATAATGTATCATATGAAAATATTCCCATTTGAAATACTGTATCCCATGTAAAAATTCCTACACTTCGAAAACTGTATTCTACAGTTAAACCCTAATAAGCCATACAATCGAAAGAATTCCGCAAATGTTATATTCTTCACTTTCTGATAATGGAATGTTGCAGATAATTAGTTTTTTAATTATTTATGGCTTTTTATTTATGTTCGCAAATACTGAGATTTACGTAATATAGTATTAAACCCATTGAAAAATTGTCAAGACGACATTTGATAAATTCTCTCGATGTATGGTTCATTTAGGGTTTAACTGTATGTAAATATTCTTACTTGAAATACTGTATGCTATGTAAATATTCCTACTTGAAGTATTGTATCCTATGTAAATATTCTTACTTGAAATACTGTATGCTATGTAAATATTCCTACTTGAAGTTTTGTATCCTATGTAAATATTCCTACTTGAAGTATTGTATCCTGTGTAAATATTCCTACTTGAATTATTGTATTCTATGTAAATATTTCTACTTGAAGTATTGTATCCTATGTAAATATTCCTACTTGAAGTATTGTATTCTATGTAAATATTCCTACTTGAAGTATTGTATCCTATGTAAATATTCTTACTTGAAATACTGTCTTCTATGTACATTTTCCTACTTGAAGTATTGTATTCTATGTAAAAATTCCTACTTGAAGTATTGTATCCTATGTAAATATTCCTACTTGAATTATTGTATTCTATGTAAATATTCCTACTTGAAGTATTGTATCCTATGTAAATATTCCTACTTGAAGTACTGTATCCTATGCTGTGGAATTGCAAGAACGTCCCAGTCCAAGGTTGCAAGATCCTCCCAAACAAATGCTGTAAACTGTTCTTCTACGACGCCAAGGAATCTGTCCAGATATCCAACAACAAAATATTCCTAAACAAAAAATAAAGGATATTTTTAATCGAATAAATTTAATATAAAGACATACAGAGTTACTAATTCGACGGATGAGACTGTAAAGACGACCTTAAACTCTTAAATATGAGGATTCTATAGATAAAGTCTTCTGCATTGAATATTGTCTTTTAAAGACTTATTTAATGAAAATAAACAATTTACTGTTGCTAGGAATTTTGAATTTAAGGAATAGCAAATGTAAACTTCGTACAGTCTTCTCTGAGGTCTCAGTTTATGTTAACCTTGTAAATTATTTTTCATTAATATATTACGTTACTAAAAGTCGTCTTCAAAGAAGACAAGTTTTGAATTATGACTCACCTGAGTAAAATCTGAATCCCACTTAATTCTCTTGATCACATCCAGAGCAGTTTTCATCGAAGGTTTCTTTCCCTTTTCTTTTTTCTCCGAATTTTCCACAGGTTTCTTTGATTTCTTCTTTCCTTCTTTAACCTCCCCTTCATGCAGGTTCAGACATTCATCTCCGAACCTGCATTTGTTTACAAGATAAAACTTGCATATTTCAGTTCCAACCTTTATATCCTTCGGCAGGACGGATTGGGAGTTTGTTTCTGCTAAAAACAAGGTTTCACTACAAGATTCTCCGGATTCAGGTTCAGCTTGCTCCGCCATAGTGTTGTGTGTGTATTACTGGAGTGGTGGAGAGAAAGTATAGTGTGGGTTGAGCTGAACCCTGAATAAATAAAGTCTCTGACGTAGTAATTGCACAATGTTATCACCACGGTTTGAAATATCTAGAGCTTTATAGTGTTTACAGTTTAAAGTTAAGAAAATACCTCTTCACAGAAAATATGATGACTGTTAATTCAAACTGTTTTCCTTCTTCACATTCAACTGTATTACATACTATACAGACTGTTCCAATAAACATGGGAGTTATAAGAAATGTCTTTAAAGTCGTCTTCAATTAACGCAGCATCTATTCGAGGAATAGGTACTTTTTTCATAATATTAAAAAGAGTTGAAATTTACAAATCAAAACCGAAGTTTTCATTTTTAAGTAACGATGACGTGGTGGTTTACATTTTTTTATACAAACTTAACATTCTTTAAACTATCGAACTATTTTATATTTCTTCAAGCCAACCAATACTGTATTCAACTTATTTTTATTTTTTTTTATTAAAAATGTAAATTTTACACACCTACACAGAATGTAAAAATATTATGAACTACAGATAGATAAAGATTATATCGCAGCAATGTTTTCATATAATTCCAATATGCATTGGAACACCTCTACTAGTCAAAGGTTTTATAACTGAGGAGAAAGCTAATCCACTAAAAAAGTATAATATATATATATATATATATTTATATCATACTAATTCTTAACTTCTATTTAACAATACGCAATTGTGTTTTTCGGATCTATATGTCGATATATATCTGTCTATATATGTCTATATATGTCTATATATGTACATATATGTACATATATCTATATCATAAAACAAGACATTCATATATATATGTTGCCTATAGCTGGCAAGGCTGAACCGAATAGGCTGAAATACTTTGTGGACTTTCGATTTTAATTTTTGATTTCTACCAAGCTTCCAAACAGAATGGTATACATACACACACATGGAAACAAAATGAAGCATCAATTAACAGCTTTTCTGTTTTCTTGTAAACTTGTAATTTGAAAAAAGTTTGTTAAAAGACAAAACTTGAATAGAAAAGTCGTCTTCATCGTATTGATATAAACACCGACCACTATGTACAATTATAAATATACATCCATGAGCCATGATATTCTAATCCGAATGAATGTACAATCAATAAACTATGTGTATTACAGGAAATGAAAAAAGGCAAGATTTAAAAAAGTTTACCCACATTCTTTAGGGGGTAGTAAATACACATATAATCACGGCAAATAAACAAAATGACGTATTTATTTAGCGACCTAAGAATTTCAATATGGTCTTAATTTAATTTACATTTATTTTAATAAATAATTTGATCAGGTAAATGGATTTGTAATTATTCTTTAAATAAATTTATATGAACTCCACAAAAATTTTGGTTTATTTTACATATTACATAAATCTATTTTTTCTAAATAAATTTTAAATTTTATAATATTAAGATTTTAAACCAGGGCTGGATCCATCTCCTCTACACCGATATAATCACTGATAGTTCTAACATCACTCTCCGTACTTGCGTTGGATATATAGCTTTCTATCCTTCTCATAGTCCTATTGGAGATCTCCTCATCTATCCGTCCTAGAAAACCTCTCTGTGGAAGGTTATCTATTGAATCTTCTAGGTCGGAATCAATATCATCGTCAACAGCTGAAATATAAAAAAATCAATAATAAAAGTGTACACGTTTTCTTGTGTGATCATGTCATGTAGTCTATGGATTATGGAATCAGAAAAAATTAAAAAATAAAGTGAAAATTAAAATCTAGTATTCTAGTATAATATGTTAATATAGTTTAAATTCTTTTATGAAACTTTTGTGTACTTTATTATTCATGCTAACTTCAAACTTCAAACTTAAATTTTTTCATCCAACAGAATTCATAATTTGAAATATCTGAGGTCTCAGACATTGGGTTGCAAAGATGTAGAGATAAGAGACGGTCTTGAAGCCGTCATCCAATTCTCATTTTGTCTTTTTCTCTTTTATATTTTTTTTTACAGAACGATGTTATTCAGATGGAAAACGAAAATAAGACAATTCTGTAAGTTTAAAGATTATTAAATTATAAACCAAACGCGATTGAATTTAATTTGAAGCAACCAAGATACCTAGTGAGTTGGAGAACGCGCTTATCGTGCTTATCTTTCCCTGTCTCCCGGGTGCATCTACAGAATCCTTAGAGGAGAGAAGTTTCAGTATTCGTTGTATATCTCGGTTCATATTCTCCAGTTCCTTCTCCTGGTTATACCGGGACTCACGGCTCTCACGTCTGCAACAAAAACGGTTTAAAATGGGTAAAATCAAAACTTTCAAACTATAGTGGTCAATCCTCTTCGTACACTCCAAAAATTTGAAACTAGTGGCTTATAAATAAAAAAATATGGAAAAAACTTTTTCTTACGTAAATTTTCACAACATAAATAAAATTACAATTATCACAGTATAAAGTTGGTTTCCCAGGGTTATCCATAAAAGAGAAAAAAACAAGGACAATCTAGAATTCCTTGAATACTATGGCACAAAATTTGGCAAAATTTTAATTTGTCTTGTGCAAAAAATAAACCATCCAGAAAAAGTCAAATGAAATCCTTTGGAGGTGATAATGTATCACATTCAGAGCAAAGAAAATTTTAGTTTACAAACTTTTATTATCAATAAAGAGAATTTGATATTTTAATGTTACATGAAAGTTCCACAGTTTGCCCTAATTAAGGCGGACATTGTGTTAATGAAGTGTCACTGAAAATATCAGAAAATGTTGTTTTTCTTTCAAAATTCCACATTTTTGCATCTTTCTGTGCATTGTAAAACTGATGAGCACTTGGCTGGGTGCGCCAGGAGGGGAAAAAAATAAGGAGGGTTAATAAAGGACAAGTATATGTTGACACCTGAGACAGAACAGGTTTATGAAGGATAAGTATATGTTGCTACCTGATAGAGGACGGGTTAATAAAGGACAAGTATATATTGCTACCTGAGACAGGACAGGTTAATAAAGGACAAGTATATATTGCTACCTGAGACAGGACAGGTTAATAAAGGACAAGTATATATTGCTACCTGAGACAGGACAGGTTAATAAAGGACAAGTATATATTGCTACCTGAGACAGGACAGGTTAATAAAGGACAAGTATATATTGCTACCTGAGACAGGACAGGTTAATAAAGGACAAGTATATGTTGACACCTGAGACAGAACAGGCAAATGTAGGATAAGGTAGTGTTGCTACCGGAGCCAGAACAGGCAAATGAAGGATAAGGTAGTGTTGCTACCGGAGACAGAACAGGCAAATGAAGGATAAGTTAGTGTTGCTACCGGAGACAGAACAGGCAAATGAAGGATACGGTAGTGTTGCTACCGGAGACAGAACAGGCAAATGAAGGATAAGGTAGTGTTGATACCTGAGACAGTTTTCCAGGATTGATCTCTTAAGACTCTCTGGTAGTGTCTTATCATTAATATCATGAGGTCTAACAGTGTAAACCGTCCTACTCTGTCCTTGGAGTCCCTAAACATAATGAAAAATTAACAACTTATAATTTTGTAGTTTTATTTTAAATTCAAAACTTGAATAAGATTGAAATAAGTTTACACTAAAGTTAGAATTGTTGCCATCACCTGTAGTTTGTATCTGAGGAAGGTTTGAAAAGAATCCGGTATATATTTAAAGTAAGGAGAAAACATCAATCTCTCCATGTAATTGATAAGGTTAACCTATAATATAATACAATTATTCTAGTTTTATTTTCATATTTTTACCATCATATATATTTTTCCACCAGTCCATCCCACCCAATTCTATCCCATCGTTCTTTACCCTAGCATATTCCTGCCTATCCTGACCTGACCTACAGTCTATCCATGCATGCATATAGTGCATGGGAAACGTAAAACTGTTGAATAGGAAGACGATATTTAAGTTTTCTTAGATTAAGTGGGTCTGTGCACAATTGCTGAGTTTCATTGGACTAATAAAAATCACATAACTTGAGTCAACAATGGTCTTTCTATTCCAGAGTTACATGGGTCCCCATCTGCAAGTCATTTCTATTCCATTTATGAACTATTTTAATTCATCCCTTCATAACCTTTCCAATGCAATCCCATCTAATTCCTGTTATAACATTAACCATAGAGAAGGAAACGAAGAGGTAAAGCTTACCTCAGATGTACACAACCGACCTCCCTTTTAATTAATTAATAGAGTGGTCGGTTGTGTACATCACGATATGTTTACGTAACTAAAACTGTCACTTTTATATGGAGTGATCTTTTTTCTAGCGGGGATTTTTTGGAATTGATAATTTTTAAGATTTTCTTTATCTAAAGAGAAATTTGTCTGGGTAAAAACTGAACTGGAATGTACTGCAGTACACAATTCTATGTGCACAATCCATATTAAGTGTCTATCTAATTATCTATACAAAAATTCAATTATCTACATTTTACAACCGCCAAGAAATACGTGTACAGTGTTAGATACGTAAACATATCATGATGTACACAAACGACCACTCTATTGAATAATTAATTAATAGGGGAGTCGGTTGTGTACATCTGAGGAAGGCTTTACCTCTACGTTTCCTTCTCTATGGTTAATGTTATAACAGGAATTAGATGGGATTGCATTGGAAAGGTTATGAAGGGATGAATTAAAATAGTTCATAAATGGAATAGAAATGACTTGCAGATGGGGACCCATGTAACTCTGGAATAGAAAGACCATTGTTGACTCAAGTTATGTGATTTTTATTAGTCCAATGAAACTCAGCAATTGTCTATTAGGCATAAGTTATAATGAGGTTGGTGGTGTGAATAATAGTTAAAAAATAAACATATTACTAATCTATATACTTTGCTTGTCTGTTTGTCTGTTTGTGTCCAATAAACGTCAAAACGGCCGAACAGATCGGGTCGAAATTTTGTATGACAATTCACATGTAGGTTTACGGACAATTTTGCCTGCAATATTTTTTTCGAAAATCATTATTTTTATTAATGTGCCAATTTAACTAGCAAATTCTCCAAAATTTTAGAATGATTTAGAATGTCCTCTTTCAGAGAAACAAGAAAAAAGCCTAAAGTATTTCCACTTTAAAATGACTATAACCTGTTGCAGAAGTTGATGTAATCTGGCAGATTTGTTTAGTCCTTGTATATCTGAGACTGCCAGACCAACCAGGAGATTCATCAGGATTATAGAGACAAGGATTGTAAACAGGAAAAGGAAGAAATGAGCTGTTACAGGAAACACTTGGGTCTCAACATTGTCAACTAAACAATATTTGCATATATCTTTATATTTATATTTTCAGCTTGCTATTTGCATATATCTTTATATTTATCTTGTCAGTTTGCTATTTGAATATATCTTTATATTTATCTTTTCAGTTTGCTATTTGTATATATCTTTATATTTATCTTGTCAGTTTGCTATTTGAATATATCTTAATATTTATCTTTTCAGCTTGCTATTTGCATATATCTTTATATTTATCTTGTCAGTTTGTTATTTGAATATATCTTTATATTTATCTTTTCAGTTTGCTATTTGCATATATCTTTATATTTATCTTTTCAGTTTGTTATTTGAATATATCTTTATATTTATCTTTTCAGTTTGCTATTTGCATATATCTTTATAATTATCTTTTCAGTTTGCTATTTGAATATATCTTTATATTTATCTTTTCAGCTTGCTATTTGCATATATCTTTATATTTATCTTTTCAGTTTGCCATTTGAATATATCTTTATATTTATCTTTTCAGCTTGCAATTTGCATATATATTTATATTTATCTTTTCAGCTTGCAATTTGCATATATCTTTATATTTATCTTTTCAGTTTGCTATTTGCATTTATATTTATCTTTTCAGTTTGCTATTTGCAAATATCTTTATATTTATCTTTTAAGCTTGCTATTTGCATATATCTTTATATTTATCTTTTCAGCTTGCTATTTGCATATATCTTTATATTTATATTTTCAGCTTGCTATTTGCATATGTGGGACCTGCTATGACCCCAAGGATGGTTGATACGACGGTTACATCTCTTTAAAACTAAATTTCCACTTTTTAAATTCACAATTGAAAACTGAAAAAGCTGCGAAATCTTGAATCATAATTGGTTAATAATGCGCAGAGGGAGAATGCTGGCAATTGTCGGATTTTTGATAAATGATAACTAATAATTTGGTAACTAACAATGAGGTAACTAACAATTTGGTAGCTAACAATTTTATAACCAACAATTTGGGAAATTGAAAAATTTGTATAATTGAAACGCATGTTTCACAATCATTGTTCGTATATTTATTTGTTGAATACATAAAGAGAGAAAACAAAATGCAGGATTTCTTAAAAGTTTAGTATGACAAATCCGCAAAAACTGTTTGTAAATTTGGCCCCCTAGCCTGTCCTAACCGCAATGCTCGGCCCAGCAACTGTCTTAACCTAACCTAACCCCACATATCGGCTATCATTTGTTAAGCTTGATAAATATGGCCGCAGCGGCTTGGCACCCTATCATGTCCTAGCCGCAGCGCTCGGCCCAGAAATCGTCTTAACCTAACCTAACCAAATTGTTAGATAACCAAATTTTGAGGTTACCAAATTATTAGTTACCAAACTGTTAGTTACCAAAATGTTAGCTAACAAATTGTTAGTTACCAAATATCCACCCATCATGTTGGTAGGTAAAAGAAACACTAAAAGGCACTAAAAAGCGGCTTGAAGCGTCTTAAGACCAAACCTAGAATAGGCTTACATTTTCTAGATAAAACATATCACATATTACCTATCGTTCCATTTTCTATACTTTGAGATGTCGAGTAGTACAGGGACTCATAGTCTATCTCCCCCAACATCATTATGATCAACTATTAATAATTGTTTTAAATAATATAATTGTTGTCCTCAAAATTAATCTATTAAATGTTTGATCTTAAAACTAACTATTAACAACATGTCAACCTTATAATCTAACATGTCAACTTTTAAGCTAACATGTCAATCTGATAACTAACATGTCAACCAGATAGCTAACATGTAAACTTTTAAGCCAACATGTCAACCTGATAACTAACATGTCAATCTGATAGCTAACATGTCAACCTAATAACTAACACATTTTCCTTACAATTAACATTCAAAATGATAACTAACATGTCAACATGATATTTAATATGTGGAAACGATAACTAGCATGTCAACATGATAATTGATATGTTAACATGATAACTAACATGTTAACATGATAACTAACATGTCAACATGATAATTAACATGTCAGCCTTTAACTAACTATTATTATCATCATAACTATCATTTCTAAAACTGTTAAAACCTACTACCTTTATGATTGCAGTTGGAACCAAAGCAAAGGATTCGTGTCGAGGGAAAGCAATCATGAATGCTGTAGCAAAGGCGAAGATAAGGAAAATATAGGCGATCATGAAGTTCAGTACACTCATAGATACAGTTCTAAACAGTACAATAGTTCAGTACACTCATAGATACAGTTCTAAACAGTACAATAGTTTAGTACACTTATAGGTGCAGTTCTAAACAGTACAATTGTTCATTACACTCATAGATTTAGTTCTAAACAGTACAATAGTTCAGTATACTCATAGTAACAGTTCTAAACAGTCCAATAGTTCATTTCACTCATTGATGCAGTTCTAAACTGTACAATAGTTCAGTACACACATTAAGATTCAGCTCTAAACAGTACAGTGTTCAAGACACTCATATCTTCAGTTCTAAACAGTACTAGTACAGTTTTCTATTTCCTAACCTGAACATCTGAACATATTTGCCAAACCTAGGGACTCTACCAATGAGAAACATCATGTACAACCATGTACTGAATGAACCAATGCATGCCGCGTGATATTGCCATCGACCTATTTCTATGACACGGCTCTAAAAAATTTTAAAAATTAATTTTTTATTGTTATCGTGAACTTTTAAATTTAATGCTGTTAAAGAGTATCATAATCAGTTCTTTTTTCCAATTTTGATTAAAAAACCAAATTTTTTTTATCAAAGATTGTTTTTTGGCTGTCCTTATGAATATTAAAAATAACAATATTATGTTTTTCAACAATGCGTATCTTTTTATATAAAATTGTAACTCTCAGGTTTTTAGTAAAAAATGTAAGTTACATAATTTTAACTTTTCTAATTTTTTTTTTCTATAGCTTGAAAAGTGCTTGATTCTAGCAGTTTTCTAAAACAAACATTGATAGCTAATTCACACTTGATTTGACAAAGCTTTTCGGCAGACGCTGAACTCCAACCTTCGAGTGTGCGAGGTGGGGAAGACTTCACTGCCGCGCTTAATTAAAAGCATGATTAAGGGGGGGGGGTGACATTTGTAGATCGAGATTGAATCCTAGCCGCAGCGCTCGGCCCAGAAAGTGTCTTAACCTAACCTAACCTAAATAAAAAAAAGTATCTTAACCTAACCCGTGGCCGCAGCGCTCGGCCCCCTAGCCTGTCCTAGCCGCAGCGCTCGGTCCAGAAAGTGTATTAACCTAGCCTAACCCTAAATAAATACTAATTTAATTGAAAATCGTTGAAAAAGTGGTCATGCACAAAAGTAAAATCTGCAGTGAAGCCTTCCCTACCTCGCACACTCGAAGGTTGGAGTTCAGCGTCTGCCAGCCTTTTCAGGGTACAGTTATAAACCGGACACGTGCAATATATCAATGAATGGACATTTGAAATAAAGTTTACAATAATGTTTAATGTTTACTCCCAATAAACAAACTATCTATTGAGAAAGAAAGAAAAAGAGCCACGCAGCGCACGAAATCCCAAGTATACATACAATGAACTCTATACCTCGTCTAGCGGGTTTAACCAGATAATGATGACAGTTGTGATGATGATTGCAAGATCATGATAGGACTCCAACTGCTGGAAATACCAGGACGGACTAGCAGCTAGCTTGAGGAGCTCCTTGATGAAGTAGATGATGATGAAGAGGATGAGAAGGATCCAGGCCGATATTGTCAAGTTTAGTGTCGGTATTTTACTAGAACTCATGTCACAAGTTATCTAATGGAGAAACAAAATGTTTTGTATTATTTATTGTTAGGTTTAGGTTACAAGAGGGTGCCATGCACTACTCTATACAATAGGTGATGAGCTCTGGTATATATTAGACTGATCTAATCATAGAACAAATTAAAAATACAAAGCAAATTTCAACAGAGGAAAGTACGTTAAAGAAAAAATGTTAGAGATTAAGGATAATCTGTTAGAGATTACGGGATAATCTGTTAGAGACTACAGGATAATCTGTTAGAGATTACGGGATATTCTGTTAGAGACTACAGGATAATCTGTTAGAGATTACGGGATAATCTGTTAGAGACTACGGGATAATCTGTTAGAGACTACGGGATAACCTGTTGACAATTAATTTGTTTACGGGGAGAAAAGGTTAGAAGTATCCACTGTACTGAATGGGAGTAATGAAGTGAAGATGTTATGAGAACAGATTTAATGAATGTGAAGAAGTGGTTGAGCTACCTAGACGTAATTTAACCCCTTCTCTTGCACGCTAGGTCAAGCTAATGAGAAATGGTTCAATTTTGTCAACGTAGTTCAACTACTTCACTACTAATTGAATTTGGATCTTGGTCGTTTCACAACGGTACCTTGACATCTTAATCTGAATATGTGGAAGATACCGTCGTTTTTCCAGCTTGACAAGAGTTTAATTCTGTTCATTTCTCAATTGTTTCTGAAGCAAGTAATCCACAAGTAGAGAAATAATGAATGAAAATTATCATTTTTCAAAACATAGATATATCACTCTACACTAAACACTATAGCTTCGGTTAGAGTACCGCAGATTACTGCAGAACACATCTAATGCTGAGTTGATTCATGCTTAATTCAGGCAAAGCTGTTATGGGTACCGTTGTGAATAGAACATACCACATTATCAATGAATTACCACTTGAAATTACGCCAATAGTCCCTTTAGGTCTGTGAACTAACCTTTGAATTAAATATCTGCCATCTCTCCTCAGGAGTATCATTAGGTTCACATAGAGAGCAGTACAGTAGTAGAGCGTACACTGTGTACACAACAGAGAAGATAAAATGTGATAGAACAATAAACACCATGTACAGGTATTTTATCTGGTTCCATTTCAGGTAAAGGAAAGCCTAAAAATAGTTTTGTAACACTAACATTTCGACATAGAGCATACAATTTAAATATCTTTCTTTTTTGCTGTTAGTTTATATCATAAAATATCATAAAATATCATAAAATATCATAAAAGATCATAAAATATCATAAAATATCATAAGATATCATGAAGATATCATAATATATCATAAGGTATCATAAGATATCATAAGATATCATAAGATATCATAAAATATCATAAAAATCTTTTTACAACATTAGATGTAAAAATATTCATATTTTCAACAATCAATATTTAAACTAAACTTTGAAAGAGGATGTTTTTATAATTGAATAATCTAACTAACCTCTGAAAGAGGATGTTTATATAATAGAATAATCTAACTAACCTCTGAAAGAGGATGCTTGAGTAAGGATTGGTGAGCAGATGATGAAACTAGCTCCATGAAGAAAGTAATATCTTGTTTCTGGAAGCTGTTGATGCTCGGAGATAGTTTAGCGAAGTCTAGTTTAATCTTAGAGTTTAGTTCTGATGTTCCTCCCTCCAGCTTTAAACCAGAATCTAACCTGGACTCTGAACAAGACAGAAATATTATCTTAGTTTGATATTTATTACCAGGAGTAACAAGAAAGAAAATGGACGACCTTGTTTTCGTCTTACTTGACCATCAAACAAATTTATTAATTTTAAACTTTCATAAGATGTCTAACTTCTTTAATCTAATATTAAAACATTGCGTAAATTTTTAAATAATATTGAAACATTGCGTTGAAATTTCTTCCATATTCGATCATTTAAAATTGTGTAGAAAAATTTTAACATCTATGTCAATTAAAAATAAGACAGATCACATTTCACCAGAACTTTATTGTTTAAGGTTTCAAGTACATGATAATTAGTAAGGACACGTGTTACAATTGGTTTCAGTGCCGCGTATATCAAAGACGATTATTATAGTACATAAAGTATACCTAGAGCCTTCATACACTGTGGGACCTTCTTATATATAAAGTGAAGACCAGATAATCCAGCGTTGTTTTTAATGCTAAGATCTGCTCCGTGTTGAATTAACAGGTTCACACGGTTTGCCTTCATATCTAAAGAACAAAAAATATAAAAAACGCATAAGTTTAAAGCGGCTTTTTTGGAACTTTTCTTTGAGTTTTAAAAGTTAAATTTTTTTTCAACAATATATTTAGAAATTAGATTTGTTTTAGTTTTGGCGCTAAAATATTTGCTCTATAACCTTACAGATCTCGTCATTTTCTCTATATACAATTTGGTCTATTAACAATTTGGTTTGCATGTAGTTTTCTTTGTATACCTGTGGCATGTTATTTCGGGTTAAGTTAGGCCTTCTGATCTTTACAAAGGACCGAGGACTGCGGATAAATCAAATAACGTATTTAGTCATAGAGCAAATGGAAACCAGAGCAAACGATCGTTAAATAAATGGCAATAGAGCAATGGCAAAAGAGCAAGTGGCAATCGAGCAAATACAATAGTGAAAATGCAATAGAGCAAATGAAAATAGAGCAAATGAAATTAGAGTTTATGACAATGCAATAGAGCAAATGAAAATAGAGCAAATGGCAATGCAATTTAGAGCAAATTGCAAAATACTGAATGACGGAGCAGATGTCGTAGCACCGAATGATGTGCTTCTAAAATACTGTTTAGACTAAGAATCTAAATTACTTATTGCTGCATAGTGTAGAGCAGTGCATCCGTTCTCATCCTGTGAATCTAAATCAGCTTTTTTTACATGTAGAATCAAGGATTGCATGCTCCTCAGTACACCCTTGTTAGTACTCAAAGTACACAGAATTAGAGGAGTTTGTCCTTTCTCATCCGGTCGATTCACAAGCTTCTCATCTTCATTCAGAGACTAAATTTGAAAATTAAAAATAGTTATAGATGACAATAACGGTAAATATTAGAAATCTATTTCATATTTAATAATTCTTAAAAAATCGATGAAGGTTTAAAATGTAATGATTATTTCAAATTGTATGCCTATTACCTGTTTAAGGATTAGATCAATAACTTGTTCACAAGTACTCTTAGCAGCATAGTGGAGAGCTGTATAACCTCGGGAACACTTCAGGGATACCTTCGCATTATACCGGAGTAGAACATTAACTGTTGCTGGATATCCGTGCTCAGCAGCTATATGCAAAGCGGTCAATCTGGTCTTCTCCCCTCGTAGAGCATTAACCAGCATACTGTTATGCTTCAGGAGAAGCTCTGCGATCTCGTAGGAGTCGTTCTCTGCAGCGGTGTGGAGAGGGGAGTCGTAGAACTTTCTATTGTCCGTTTGAACATTGTTGTTCAGAAGATATTGAACCACCTGCAGATTCTTACTTCTAAACATAAAGCCATCATGTGCTAAGGATAGATAGATAAAATGACACATAGGTTTATCACTTAAAGGGAGAGACTGACTATGTAATATATTTGAGCTCAAAGTGCAGTATTGTAGAGAACTACTTTAGGATTTATTTAATGCCAATGAGACATTTTTACAGTGTACAACTTTTACATAAGAGCGTAAAGTCGTTTGTAATATTTCACCAGTTGTTTCGGGCAGAAGAAAAAACTTTTTTTTACAATTATTTAACAACCTGGACAAAATATGTAAAAAAATTAATTTATAAACTAATTTTTGTTAAGAAACATCTTTCTCATGAGAAATTATCGATGAAAGCGATAGTTGAACCATAGAATCGATTACATAAGCAGTTTTTAAAAAAAATTTCGCAGATTTATTAAAATTACAATTAAAGTTAAGAAACCCTCCAACAACCTGGCCATGTTATTTAAGAATTGCAAAAGAAAACTTTGTTCTGCTGGCTGAAACCACTAGTGAAATATTACAATTGACTTTACGCTCTTATTTAAGAATTGTACACCGACAAAATGTATCATTGGTATTAAATGAATCCTAAAGTTTCTCTCTACAATACTGCATTTTCAGTTAAAATATGTTACATAGCCGGTCTCTCCCTTTAAGAAATACTTTTAAACGAACACTTTAAGGATAGGATTTGCCGACCCAAAATTGACCATCTTTAATGATTTTAAAACAACCATTTTTAAATTAAACATTTGAAGGTGTTCTGTCAAATTGATGGGGAGATATAATAATAAAAATGGAAGTTATTAGGTATTTTTCCGAAGGTCAACTTCCCAATAACAATTTCCCAAGCGGCAACTTCCCAAAGTTTAGGTTAGATTTTCTGAGGCGCCACAGGCTGCAACGTGGGGGTGGGTCGAGCGCGGCGGCTAACATAGGCTAGGGGCCGAGCGCTGCTGCTAGAACAGGCTAAAGGGCCGAGCTCAGCTGCTAGGACAGACCTGGGAAGTAGACGCTCGAGAAATTACATAATTAAGAAGTTGTCACTTCGGAAAATATATTGGGGAATTTGCCGCTTGGGAAAGTACACATTGGGGAAGTTGCCACTTGGGAAAATTTGGGAAGTTGCCGCTTGGGAAAGTACACATTTGGGGTGTTGCCACTTGGGAAAATACATTGGGGAAGTTGCCGCTTGGGAAATTGAACATATGGGAAATTGCCAATTGGGAAAATACCCTTGGGAAGTTGCTGCTTGGGAAATACCCTTGGGAAGTTGCTGCTTACGAAATACCCTTGGGAAGTTGCTGCTTGGGAAAATACTCTTGGAAAGTTGCTGCATGGGAAAACACATTTTTTAAAGAACTTAACATCGTTAAAAAGCCAAGGTTTAAAACTCAGAAATATTGATAATAAATCTATTTATTCATAAATAAATATCTCCACCTGACAGCTGAATGCAGGACGGATCCGGCATCATTCTGCAATCCTACGTTAAGATCTCCGTCATTGTTGACCAGGAACTCCAGGGTCTCCAGGGACCTAGAACCAGCCCTGGTTGCACAATGGAGCGGAGTTATTTCGCCCTTTCCGTCCAAGATATTTACATCAGCTTCATTTTCAACCAGTATCCGGACACACTCTAAACTTCCTTAACAAATGTAACATCAGAAAACTATTCCAAAATTTAAACATGGAAGTTCTAGAAAGGACCTCGAAATGGAATCCCAGACCGCCGCCTTCGGATGTAAATAGTGCAGTGTCAAATTATAATAATAAGTTATAGTTATTAATGGAAACCCGCAAATGAAACCACATCAGCATGCAGAATGCAGCATGCTGCATACTATCTACACCACACAAAACACGATTCTTAACACCATTTCATACCCGTCAAAAAGATGTGTAACCTATTTAAATGTTGTTAACAATATAAATCCCAAAATTTTATTTTGATAATATTTTTTTAAATACGTATAATTTTATTCATTGTATTTTACAGTCTGGAACATCATTAGGTTTTTCTGCTGTAACAATAAGAAACAACATAATTGGTTTAAAAATATTCGTCTCAAAGTTCTTTCTTAACACAAGTCAATATGATTCAATTTCATTTTATTTGTTGTAAATTTTTGTTTGTTTGTGTTAAAAAAATTGTTATAAATGCAAATCTCGGAGTTGTTTTTATTCACGATTAAATCTAGTTTTTTGTTTGAGTAAAGTTGAACTTGCTGGATTTTGTTTCAGATAGTTTTTGTATTTAAAATAGCTTAATGTTAATGACCCTGAAACTTGAATATAATAGATGCAGGATTTACAGGAAATTAAAGGTTTTATAGCTCTTCCTTGGACCCTGGGAATTTATAAAATAAATTTATCTAATTCTTTCTTTTAAATTTTCTATAAAAAACGTTACCATTGGCTGCAGCAACATGGAGCAGAGCTGAACCACTCTCCTCCTCTATTGTATTCACGTTATATCCGTCCTTCAGCAGCTTGGAGAGAAGGTTGGGTTTATTCAGTTCAACAGCTTTAAAAAGAATATCACTCAACCTAACTCCCTTTTCCTCAACCAATCTCCTAAAATATTTCATGTGGCAATGTGGCAATGAGTATAAGGGAGGGGGGTCCAGGGACATTTTGAGCCCTGCAAGCCTCCGTACTCGCATATTTAGTATTTAAAATGACCTGGCGCTACCCCTATCCTTCAGAATAAATATTATAGAAGTAACGTATAACAAAATTTAGAAATGATATTTAATATTCTAATAGTTATGACATGTTTTCTGAATGTTCAAGAAGACACGGCATAACTATTTAAAGATTAAACATTTTCTTTAAAAAAAGTTATTTATTACTCTTATAATATCTATTTTAACGTTTAGGGGTAGTTCCTGGTCATTTTAAATACTCATCTGCTAATCCGGAGGCTTGGAGACCGTTTTGCGGGGCTCGTGTCGGCCCAATATCCCCTCCTTCCTATACGAGAGAGGAGAAATATTAATCCGCAATGTCATTCTTTTTTAGTTAAACCTGATTTTAAGAAAAGGTTTTTATGAGCTGACAAGATTATCCAGTCAGTAAATCAAAAAGAAAGGAAACATGTTATTAACCGTTTGGCAAGAAATAAAAAGCTCGGACTGAAACCTCCTCTCTGCAAAGTCTTAAACGGTCTTTTAATAAAAATAATAATAATCGTAATCAATTCTTAATCCGTAGATATCAGACTTGTAGAAATTGTAGAAATAGAAATATTTAAAATCCATTCATATTTTAATGAGAATCCGGCTCAATCTCAACTAAGTTTTTTTTTATAATTTTTATACTGACATTTTAATGAACAATCAGAGATCGGAGAAGTTTTACCGATATGTCAAAACTTAGAATTGTGTTTTGTTATTTTCCACAGAATCCGGATCAAGGCAGTCAAGGCAGTCCTAAGCCCCGGATAATTAAGTAATAATAAAGCAAACATTTGAAGTGGTTCAAGTAACTATCCCTGAGCGTCCATGCAGTATCAAAGGTATAAGAAGTATAAACAGAACTAAAAACTTGAGAATTGTGGATATTGAGATTAATGCTTGATCTCTTCTTCTTAATCTCAAGATTAATTTAATCTTTAGTTTGTATCCTCAAAAGTGTTTAAAAATTAACCAATAGAGCGGCGTATGCCAAATCCGAAACGGTCAATCAGAATCCGTGAAAATTTGAAATTTTACGCGCTATTTAATGAGATAACTCTCATTGGTCGGAATCTGGTATGGATACAAAAGAGAAAAAAACAATTGATTAAGCAGGAAATTAAAGTGTCCACATTGAATATTCAAATTAATCGATTGTGATTAAGATTATCCAATTCTAAAGTTCCCAGCTCAAATCAAGGATATATTGACTAGGTAAAAGGTTTAACCGTTTACCTGAGCAGGACATAATCCTCTCGGTTGACCGCTTCTAACATCCTTGGCTCCGAGGTTCTAGAGAGCAGGTTGTGACTGGATATCAGGGTATCTATTATAGCACTTGTTCCATTGAAACTAGAATACAAAACTAATAGAATATGTTTCATTTCAAAGTGACACTGCAGGCGTAATTTCAAGTGACCTTTAATTTGTACCGGGGTCATGTCCGATTCACGACGGTATCCTTTAAACCTTTGTCAGATCAAAATTGTATAAGATATCCATGTTTTCTATAAAAAGTGTCTTAAGTTGTGAATCGAATACGGACCTTTCAAATGGAAAGTCGCTTAGACTTACACCAGTCCCTTGAGGAGAAAAAGGATGAATACATAAGTTTACCTAACAGATCTATCCGATGCTGTTATGATCGTATCTCGAAGAGTTTGAGGATCCAGATCTTGTATAGATCTGGTTCTGTTCTTTCTATCCAACTGAAATAAATATAGATATTCATGTAAGGAAACCTTAACCTTAAACAAATGCAGTCAAATAGAATCAATTCGTATTGTTTGTTATTTTTAATGTAAAATATAGTTTGTGTATAAACTCGCTTCATTATTCAATTCAGTTTAGGCTATTTACTCAGTTTAGGCTTTTAACTTAATTTAGGCTATTTACTTAGTTTAGGCTTTTAACTTAATTTAGGCTATTTATTTACTCAGTTTCGGCTATATACTCAGTTTAGGCTTTTAACTTAATTTAGGCTATACTCAGCTTAGGCTATTTACTCAGTTGAGACTATTTACACAGTTGAGGCTATTTACTCAGTTGAGGCTATTTACTCAGTTGAGGATATTTTCTCAATTTAGGCTATTTACTTAGTTTAGGCTATTTACTCAGTTTAGGCTGTTTACTTAGTTTAGGCTATTTACTCAGTTTAGGCTATTTACTCAGCTTAGGCTATTTACTCAGTTTAGGCTTTTAAATTAATTTAGGCTATTTACTCAGTTTAGGCTATTTACTCAGTTTAGGCTATTTAATCAGTTTAAGCTATTTACTCAGTTTAGGCTATGTACTCAGTTTAGGCTATTAAATCAGTTAAGGCTATTTACTTAATTTAGGCTTTTTACTCAGTTTAGGCTATTTACTCAGTTTAGGCTTTTTACTCAGTTTAGGCTTTTAACTTAGTTTTGGCTATATTCTTAGTTTAGGCAATTTACTCAGTTTAGGCTATTTACTCAGTTTAGGCTTTTAACTTAATTTGGGCTATTAACTCAGTTTAGGCTATTTACTCAGTTTAGGCTATTCAATCAGTTTAGGCTATTTACTCAGTTTAGGCTATTTACTTAGTTTAGGCTATTTACTCAGTTTAGGCTATTTACTCAGTTTAGGCTATTTACTTAGTTCAGGCTATTTACTCAGTTTAGGCTATTTACTTAGTTTAGGCTGTTTACTCAGTTTAGGCTATTCAATCAGTTTAGGCTATTTACTCAGTTTAGGCTATTTACTCAGTTTAGGCTATTTACTCAGTTAAGGCTATTTACTCAGTTTAGGCTATTTACTCAATTTAGGCTATTTACTCAGTTTAGGCTATTTACTCAGTTAAGGCTATTTTTTGATCTGAGGCTGTTGCAATTTTCTTAAACTTTTCCTAAATACCCATAGCCCTCCCTTGCCTGATATATTAGACTAGCTCGGGAACCCTCTTAACTAATTTACTTAATGTTTGAAGATTTAAGTTTATTTAATGCAGTTTTCAATATAAAACAGAAATTGAGTTCAGGATGTATCTTTTTTTCATTCAGATTATTTTGCAAAGTTTGATTCATGTTTTCATTCAAAACTGGTAAAATTATATTTCTAAACAATTAGAATCATGAATAAAATCAGAACTACGTTAACAAGCTCACGTACCCTACACTGAATACATTTACGTTATTTGTCATGGTTCATGTATTCTCTATACAGTATAGATATACTCCAGGATACTATATACCAGGGTTGATGTATTCTCTATACAGTATAGATATACTCCAGGATACTTAATATCCGGGGTTCATGTATTTTCTATACAGTATAGGTATAATCCAGGATACTTAATATCCGGGGTTCATGTATTCTCTATACAGTATAGGTATAATCCAGGATACTATATACCAGGGTTCATGTATTCTCTATACAGTATAGGTATACTCCAGGATTTTATAAACAAGGGTTCATGTATCCTCTATAAAGTATAGATATACTGCAGGATACTATATACCAGGGTTCATGTATTCTCTATACAGTATAGGTATACTCCAGGATACTATATACCAGGGTTGATGTATTCTCTATACTGTATAGATATACTGGATGATACTATATACCAGGGTTCCTGTATTCTCTATACAGTATAGATATACTCCAGGATACTATATACCAGGGTTCATGAATTCTCTATACAGTATAGGTATACTCCAGGATACTATAAACAAGGGTTTAGTATCCTCTATAAAGTATAAATATACTGCAGGATACTATATACCAGGGTCCGTGTATCCTCTATACAGTATAGATATACTCCAGGATACTATATACCAGGGTTCATGTATCCTCTATAAAGTATAGATATACTCAAGGATACTATATACCAGGGTTCGTGTATTCTCTATACAGTATAGATATACTGTATGATACTATATAAATAAATAAATGAAAAAGATTGTGAAAGACCCCCAATGTGGGATCCCCAGACCGACCAGGGTTCGTGTATTCTCTTCTACAGTGTAGATATACTTCAGGATACTATATACCAGGGTTCATGTATTCTCTATACAGTATAGGTATACTCCAGGATACTATATACCAGGGTTCATGTATCCTCTATACAGTATAGGTATACTCCAGGATACTATATACCAGGGTTCATGTATCCTCTATACAGTATAGATATACTCCAGGATACTATATACCAGGGTTCATGTATTCTCTATACAGTATAGATATACTCCAGGATACTATATACCAAGGTTCATGTTTCCTGTTGTATCACGAGATACTAAATCTATAAAGGTTTAGAACAAACTGTGGTTTATCTAATAGACTGAAGAGTGCAGAAATGAACTACGGGTCCTGTTTTTGATTTACGTAAGAGGAGCAGGGGAGTCCCCTGATATCAGGTAGATATAATGTCAATACCAACCATGGTTAGATTTACGTCATGTATTGGTTATAAATTATAATAACTACATTCAAGTAAAATCCTATAGTTTTTAGGGTGTTTAGAAGGTTAAATCAGTTTAAAAATATGGTTAGATCAAAATATATGAATTGAAATAAAAATATAATTAATTTAATTGAGGTTTGTCCAATACATAATTCAACAAAAATGATTTTTTTTAAAGATATCAAACCCCATTAAAGCTTCCAACAGTTTTTAGATTAGATGTAAATAGGCCTAAAAGTATTTAAGCTTTGTATCCGAACTTGATGGATTTTTTTTATCAAACACCAAAACATTGCAAAAGCCAGGAAGACATTGGACTTTTTACAACTTTTGTCAAGATATAAAGTAAAAACAATAAAAAATATATTGTGTCACACCTCACCAACGCCTTTTCATACAGGGTAATTTAAAAAACATTTTAATTTAAAACGATATTTTAAGCAAATTGCTGGATTTATTTTTGTATTATTCTCTAGGGCATGCACTGCACTATGCAGGTTTTAGATAACTAAATAATAACTACACCCATGTTTTCTTTTTTTTGCAATCATAAGACCTCGTAATAAAAAAAACTATGATGAAATCAGGACTAGGAATAAATTTTACTAGATAGAGTGCACGGCGTTGCCCGTAAAATAAATGAGATGGGCGCGAAGCGCCCTGTAAGCCTATTATTATAAAAACCAGTTTTATGGCCCATAACCTGAAGACCGGTCTTTTAACCAAGCCTATACAGCTTGGCACTTGCTTGAAAAACACTCTAACTCTAGGATTTTAACGAACCAGAACTAACAAATTCATAAGAATTGAAGGTAAATTAATATCTCACCAGAACTCTTCTTGAAGGTTCTTTAGGAACTGCATTAGATCTGTTCTCCCGGAGTCGGAATTCATCCCTATTAAGTCCAGTACTCAAAGAAATTACGTTCGATGAATCTTCTCTAATAAACTCCCCAGCCATGGTTTTCTCAGGGTTTCTTATTGTTTAACGAGCTGTATTTAATCCTGGAGTATATAAGGAGTGTCAAGCTCTCGTCCAACCTGAGAGAACCAATAGAAGGACATTTTATCTAGAAATATTTTCAAATTCAAGTTGACTTTAAAATGTTTGTGGCGGTTCACTTCAGACAGCTTCCCATTTATTTATGCAGTACGCAATATTATTGTTATTGTTTACATTTTCCAGTGATCCATCGGTCAACCCATATTAAATCATTAGATACTAGTTTTACTATATTTGTAGATCCCATTAATTTGTATACGCTAAATCAAATATATGCATATACACATATGAATATGAATTTTAAACTGAATTCTTAAAAAAACTCTATCTTTCCTTGCTCTATACAATCTCATAAAGTGAAATAACCTACAAAGTACAGAATGCTGTTTAAGTAAAGATGAGTAATTCGATAAAACAAAAATACATAAAATATTGCTTAGAACATTAACACGCACAATACCTTGTCAATTTCAACATGATTAGGACTGCTAATATGACTTGGAAGGTCCTTTAACAATTCACAAAATATCAAAACGTTCGTCCTACAGACAAGGGCCATATTCATCACGCCAGTGTAATAGAAATACTCAAGCTGTTTTATAGAAAAACCCCAACTGCTAGTTTTCAAAGGAAAAATTGCGACAAATTGCTTGTCAAGTAACAGTACTTTAGTGAATCGTTTATGGCCGGGAATCTTTATTGGAACTTCAAATTGCACAATTACAGTGTTGTTTAAATAAATTAAAAAGTCTAAAATTATTCAATAAATGGTCTTATTCGCGTATATATTATTTATTCTGAGCGACAGAATATTTTAGGACGTATGTAAAGGATTACGTTCAAAGGATGATACTTCAACGACGACCTGAGAAAATGTCTAACTGAAGGTTTAATGAAACATATTTGAAAATCGTTCAAAGAAATGTACTAGTTTATAGCTGTAAGGATCTAGGCATAACATGAGATATAAGATTCGTACAGTCGTCTTTGAAGTCTCATTCTCATTGTGTAATCCTCTATCTTACTTAAAAACCTAGTCGCTATAGAACTACGAAGGATCAACTAAACTTGTTCAAAATAGAACTGGTTTTTCGCCCAAACATTTAGAAAGTTTTGTTCGTTAGCTATACACGGCCAAACCATTGCACTGGCTATTCTTTATTTATAATTTTTATATATAAAGGAGGTATTTGACGCCAAAATATTTGATATTTTGTATTTGCTTTATCAGCCTTTTAAGAGCAACACTAAGTTCTTAGACATTTGCTATATATGTAATTAGATAAAGTGCCCGGCGTTGCCCGTGGAATTTTACAAAATCTTATAAAAAAATTTTGAACAAAATTTTCGTTATGTATGTTATGTTACCACTGGTATACCCCTAGGTTCCCTCAAATTTTTTTAGCCCATTCGGTTTAGCCGTTTGGCCGGCCAGGGCCCAGAGGGAACATATATACAAATGGTTTGTTATATTATACAGATAATTTAATAATATTAAAAGATAATGAAATCCAGTAAAGTTTAAGACCCCAATCAAATTCAGAATTTAGTAAAAGAAACACTATTTAATATCAAAACAACGACTTTTGTATAACGTTTAAAAAACTGGAAGACAAAAACTAAAAAATAGAAAATAATATCGATATATCGATTAGTTGATATTAATCACCTTTATTCTCCACCACTTCTTTTCCGTAATAAACACTAACACTAACAATAATAATAAACTGTACATGAATATCTGTTGCATTAAAGGGGTCGAGTTGTAAACTGAAGCTGAATGAAGGACAGGTAGAATTATTCATACTTGTACTCTAGGTACTCTGTGATCCTGGGAAGTAGAGACATATCGGATTGTCGTCTTTATCTGAGAATAGTGTTTTTGATCACTCTTGGCTACTTGGGTATTTGTTGTGTAAATTTGTTTTTCAAATATTGTGCACGTTTTTTAGGAAATGTTATTACTTACATTTTTAAGTTGTCTAACAAATAGGTTTTTAAAAGAGAGTATATATACATATTTATATGTATATATATATTTCAGTTTTTAAACTTCACATTTTATTAAAAAAGAATTATACTATGCACAAAATTCACGTCTCATATATATATTAAAATATATATATACATATATATATAAGATTATAGGGATGAGACTTGTCTCTACGGAATTTATGCGGTCTATTTACTTTTATTCGCGATTCTCTGCAAATGTAAGCGTTTTATTCTATTGCCAAATCTTTGTCAAATCATGAAATAAACAATCAAAAGATTTTATTCAAGGCAGAAGACATAATTCAATCTTGGGATCGTCATAATGTTTGAGCTTCAGGTCGTCTTTTTAATCTTATCTATCCCGCGGCCGCTACTATGCTTAATACTTACTATGTTATAGTTCTGGGTATACGACCACACATAGTATAAGACTTTGTAGGCGACTGTACGAGAACATTAAATACTTTTTCTTAAAATCTCACTTCAATAAAGCTGAAATCAATTGTTTCTTTCTTAGTCAAACAAGTTTGTTTATTAATAAATGATTACTTTTAAAATTCTCCTAGTCCACACATTTCCAAAATATGGTCGGCTTTTTCAATAATACCGAAGATATTTATAATTTCGTTCAGATTTCAATTTTATCAAATAAAACCGAAATTGTCCGAAATCTGAACGAAATTTTTCATATCTCCGGTAATATTGAACGCACTAATGAGGCAGACAACGTTTTGAAAGTATAGGGGTATTTTGAGATTTTTAACGAGGTTAACGAAAAATGCTACAGATTTTTTCAGAGGTCAAATACGACCTTCAATTCGCCTGTCTACTGACATGTTTCGTGGGACACCCTGTTTGTTCAAAACACAAACCATTTAACCTTCGGATTCTCATATTCAAAGATCTTTAGGTCGTCATTACAGTCTCATCCTTAGTGAGTAACTCTGTTTATCAAAAACAACGTTTGAGAAAAGAGTTGATTAAAAAAATTTGTAACCATTTTCAGTGAACGAGCCCACGCCTGGACAAAGAAAGATATAATTGTTGCAGACTTTAATTTAAAAAAAACACTAGGAGGACTGTAGACAAGGATAAAGGAAAGATCCGAGGCAGAATATGGGGGGGGGTCCGCAAGTGCGGTTGACACACCAGTATTCAGAAACAGGCTAGGGGGCCGGTCATAAAGAACAGTGTCTGTGCAGTGTAAAGATTGTATAGAAGATCTTACATTTTTTCCTTAAAGTGATTTAAGTGAATTTTGTTATTTATTTAATTTTTTTAAAGACAGAAGTCTTTGAAATGTTTTACATTTCAAAATGGTGGCTCAAAAAATTAGCTTTTTTACACTTTGCAGAAAATAGAAACCTGAACGAACGGTTTATTTTGCTTCGTATTATCTTGTCCATGTTTAGCTAGTTTTTTAACCAGTTCAGATTCATTCGCAGTACACTGTTGAACTTTTATTATATTCGGGCACAGCGCAAACTGTACAAGGCACACAGTACAGTTTACAGCGTGTGCTGTACAGCATTTAGTGTACAGCGCACAGTTTACAGCTCATACATACAGTGTACAGTTACAGTCCGTGGAATGTCCAGGACAGTGTAGTCTTTTTTACAAGCTTTTTCTTTTACTCTCCTATTCGAAAGCAAATACCTAAATTTTTTATACTATACTTTTTAACAGCTGAGTGTTCACATGTGTTGTATCAAATATCTAATTTGGGTAAGTTCTGTATTTAACTAGAGATTTAACAGGAAAATTAACATAATGTTTCTACTTTAAATGTAAATGTTTGTTATGTTGAACTTTAGCTTCTAATCCCTTAAACTTAATATTGTACTTCTTTCCCAGTTTTCTTATTTTCATCGTTCTTTCCAGTTCTTTTCCTTGTTCTTTCCAGTTCTTTTCCTTTTCCTTGTTCTTTTTAGTTCTTTTCCTTGTTCTTTCCAATTCTTTTCCTTGTTCTTTTCAGTTCTTTTCCTTTTTCTTTCCAGTTCTTTTCCTTTTTCTTTCCAGTTCTTTTCATCGTTCTTTCCAGTTCTTTTCCTTGTTCTTTCCAGTTCTTTTCCTTGTTCTTTCCAGTTCAGTTCTTTTCCTCGATCTTTTCAGTTTTTTTCCTTGTTTTCTTTAGTCTTTTTCCTCGTTCTTTTCAGTCCTTCGTTCAGTACTTTTCCTTGTTCTTTTCCATCATTTTTCTTGTTCTTTTTAGTCCTTTTCCTTGTTCTTTTCAGTTCTTTTTTCTCGTTCTTTTCAGTCCTTTTCCTTGTTCTTTTCCACTATTTACAATTTACTAACAATCCACCACTTATTTATATTAAATATGTAACTTTCCTTATCCTTTCCTTTCCTTTTCCTTTTATCTATATTTTTATATTTTTTTAGAATTGGGGGAAATATTCCCACAACCTCTACTTTTAGAGGTTTTTAAATATTTTCTCCTGAAACACTTTATTTTGTATGTTTTTGTTATATTTCATAAATATAAAATTTTTTACTTTTTACTTACTTTACATTTTCCTTGTTATTTTCTGTTCGTTTTCTTGTTCTTTTCCGTCCTTTTTCATTTTATTTCCCATCATTTTCCTCGTTCTTTTCAATCATTTTCCTCGTTCATTCCTGTATTTTCCTTGTTATTTTTCTCGTTCTTTTTACTTGTTTTTTTCCCGCCCTTTTCCTTTCTGGTCATCGTTCTTTACATCCTGTCCTCGTTGTTTTTCTCCTTCCTTTCCGCCCATTTATTTCGCTTTCGTTAATTTCAGTTTTTTCCATGGTTCCTCTCTGTCTCATTTTAAAACTTTTATTCCTTACTTTTCCACCTTTCCACCATTTCCATTAATCCTTATTTCTGTCCGTAGTTTTCATTTTCCGTTCCTTTCCGTAGGTTTATTAATTCCTTTTCCAGTTCAGTTCATTCGCCTCGTTCTTTTCACATTTTCATTTTCCCTTTTCCCTTTTCTATTTACTTCATTTTCCCTGCATATAAATCTCTTTCTTCATTAATTTTCCATTCTAGAGGATTTATCTGTTCGTTTTTCCTTTCCTTACCTTTTTAATTTTTTTTGCATCACCATGGTGTTTTGTCGGCTTTCCCCAGAACGGAGCCTCCCTTGGTTTAAAGTCTGTGTTTAGTATAATCCATTCCTTCGTCATAATAGTTGCAGAAAACCTGCCTCTTCTATTATCAGAAGAAATAGAGCTAGACAAATCCTTCGTTCAATGGTTTTTAACCAAACTTAGCCTTACTTAGCAACGTTACTTAAGCAAGGAGTAAAAAAGATTATCCATTAAAAAGGGCATATTAATTGCTCTTTGTATATTCGATTATAGTTCATGAACCCATTCACAGATTTGATTTGTAAACTCGGTAGAACCATGAGAATGTTCATAGCTTGGTTTTGAAGTTGAGTAGGTTTAGTCTTATAATATGTATTTGATGTTACGTTAATTTTAAAGCAAAGAACTTTTCCAACAAAATAAACTTATTAAGTGAATTAGATCTGTGTATACTGCACCATTGCTGCTATTAAATGTGCATTACACTAATTGAAATCTTTGACTTAAGTCAAATAGTCGTCTTTACATTCCACGGTATTAGCAGTCCCACTGATGGATCTACACTAAAGTACATGAGCCCAAATTAAATTCATATATTTAGTTTCATATAGAGTAACAAATGCATTCTTCGATTTTATAAAGATGGACACAGCACAATGTTCATTCCTGGTTCATCATCATGTAGATAAATGGACACAGCACAATGTTCATCCCTGGTTCATCATCATGTAGATAAATGGACATTAAGTTTTTGAGCTTTTTTGTTCTTAATGTTCCTTCCTCCGACCTTTGCAATAAAGACTTCCATATGATTTAATTTTTTTTTTAATAATACCAATAGGTTGAAGAAATAGTGAACTTGTGGATAAGAAGTTTAAGCTTGAGATTGTCATCCTCCTTCAATTCTTGCGCTGTTTCCGACCAGGAGGCTGTGCTTTCGGCTATGGTTTGTTTGTTGTCTGGGGTCACCACTTTAGAAGTACATTTATTGCTTCTGGATATAAATACATATTAAATAAAGAGTGTATAAAAGGAGAGGAAGTTGAGAAGGTCTTCTCCGGTTCCAGGATCCGACACAACTCATTTGCGGATTTCATAATACTCTTTCGAGGATTTCATCCTTTACAGTATTATGTTTTAGTGTTTTTAGAGCGGATCCAATATTTGTCAAATATTCAGATTTTTTTGTGTACATTTATTTCGTTATCCCTTATTCTTTAACCTCAATAAAGTTTACAAGAAGAAAAACAAAATATGAAGTGTTAATTGTGGAGATATCTAATTACATTCCCCCTCCATTTATTTCAGCCTGACAGAAAATAAATTACCAACTTGTGTTTGTTTGGAGCTGAATCAACAAGTTGAATTGTGTGTACTGTAGAAATAGTAATGGGGGCACCTTAACTTGGTTCTAATGTTTGCAGCAAGGCAAAACTGCACCGATGTCTAAAACTTTTTATTTTTAAATTAGCCAAAATATGATTGAAAGATGTACGAACTAGAAGAAAATGAAGAACAAGAAATAAAGAAAGGTCAAAATATTTACATCTGAATATTATAAAAAAAATAAAAATATGAAAAATATGTATGGACTCAGAAAGAAATACATTTATATCCAACTTCCACATTTAATGAGGCAGCAGACGTAATTTTTAAAAATGTTTTTTTTAAAAATTAGTTTCTCTATAAAGAATAACAGTTACTTAAACAGATGAAAAATTAAACATTTTTTAAGTTAAAAAAACGACTTTATTTTTAACATCATTAATCAGATAAATATTTAAAGGTACCATTGAGAATCGGGCATGCCCCCTATTAAAATTGAGGGTCACAATTACCAAAAAAAATTTCAAAGTAAAAGATCATTTGTTGTGTATAAAGCAAACATGCACAAAATAGTTTTTTTAACAATGCATTAAACAGATAAATGGGAAAGCTCTTGTTTGATTTTGCAACCAGGATCATTAAAAATGTATGCAAATATATATTTAAACAAATTCTACGAAATTTTCGTGATTAACTGCAAGTATATTAAACTTTTTTTACATAATGTTTTATTTATGCTTTAAGCGAATTTAAGGGTCTTGTTTGTAAAGATAAACTATTAAAGGGTTCGTTCTCACATTTCTTACATAAAAAATATTTTGTATCAATAACAAACTGTAAGAAAATATGATACACATATCTTTTAGCTAATATTTTTATTTATAAATATTTTATCAGACTGACTTGTAAGCAGCTACTGAATCTATTTACATAAAGTTGTAATCTCTGTTTGTCTGTTGGTTTGTCCGACCATAACTCAGGAACCGCTGGATCGATTTGCCTCAAATTTTGATTAGGAACTCGGGAGAGCCACGGTAGCTTGATTTTGAGATTCTAAATTGAGAGGGTTTTATTTCAAAATTTAGTTTCCCGGTAAAATCGACCAAGTGCGAGTAAACGGTCAGAGTAACTAAGAGTAACCTGGGCAACGCTGGATCGATTTGCCTCAAATTTTGATTAGGAACTCGGGAGAGCCACGGTAGCTTGATTTTGAGATTCTAAATTGAGAGGGTTTTATTTCAAAATTTAGTTTCCCGGTTAAATCGACCAAGTGCGAGTAAACGGTCAGAGTAACTAAGAGTAACCTGGGCAACGCTGGGTTCCAAACCTAGTGTACATATATAAGGCAAAACGGGACGGGAGTCCAAATAAATCATCTGGGGAGATTAGTGTGCGCAGCGCGGACGAAAAATTGTAAATCCTCAGGATTAAAAATTAAGAAACATTAATAGAAATGTTATTTCCAAGGAACATTTCTAAAATTACCGTGTATTTAAAATACATCACTATTTCAGATAAAAGATGTTTTGCGACGAGAACATATGGAATTAATAGTTTTGTGAAGGGATTCAAAATACTGGTTATGAAGGTTTTCTCAAGATTGATAAAAGAAATGGATTTCAATCGATTAATCTCTAATATAAAAGTGGTCAACTATATCCAGATACCGATATCCAACTGGTTTTAACTATATCTAGTCAATATACAGCTACTGATATCCATCAAGAAGTCATCGATATTGAGAAAAAATATATAAGAAACAAAAAAGGCTGGTTTTTATAAACGATATTTGTATTTTTACGTCAAAGTTTGAAGATTTACATTTTAATCCAACATAAAAAAATTGGTTGTACAATTTTTAAAGAGTCGTCTATTCCTTGCCTTTCTGATCCGTCGCATATATGTACTTCTCCGTACTCACCAATACTTCTCCGTTCTTACCTATACTTCTCCGTACTCACATATACTTCTCCGTACTCAAATATCTTTCTTTGTACTCAGCTATACTTCTCTGTGCTTATATATGATTTATTTCGTTATCCCTTATTCTTTAACCTCAATAAAGTTTACAAGAAGAAAAACAAAATATGAAGTGTTAATTGTGGAGATATCTAATTACATTCTAGTCAACTTTTATCTAATATTTAAACTTTACTTTTTCATTTTTGAAGGGTTGACATTATTTTTAGAGACTGTATCTTCAGTTTTACGAAACCATTTCTTTAAAACTTTGTCTTAAGAAACGAAGCTGGAGAAGGGGGGAACTTTTTTTTAAAAAAAAATTGACACAGTGAGCACGGAGCCCTGTCCTTTCTCTAAATGACTCGAAGGCCTTGAAGTTTGAAAATGGCTGAGAATTTCTCTGTTTCAGAAGCTGCAGGTTTAAAGGCCGTAACTTTTAAATGAATTAAAATCAAAATCTAGTTAAAGGTACAAATACTTGTTTAAAGATGGATCAGGTAAACCTGAACCCTTCAAGCTTTCTGAAGAAAAACTTTGAATTATGATATTTATATTTGTGTATACTGTCTACACCTGCCCGTTACTCTTCATGCTGTCAAAATAAGATGAAATGGGAAACTATCCATCTTTCCAACTTATCTACTATCTACCTATTCAACTTCTACTATCTACCTATCCAGCTTATCTTCCTATCCATCTTCTACTATCTACCTATCCAACTTATCTACTATCTACCATCCAACTTCTACTATCTACCTATCCAGCTTATTTACCTATCCATCTTCTACTATCTACCTATACAAATTATCTACTATCTAATAGACAAGAAAAGAATTCAGCAGTAAAAAGCCAAGATTGAGTGGAATAACAAAGCATAGTTGCACTCACACTATATATTTACATTATAACGATGCAAAAAATTAGTGTTGGACCAACTAAAGTTGATCAAATACACACTACATTCGCCTTGGGTGAATATATTTCCATTTCACTCTTCTGATCAAATGCTTCATGCTGGGGATAAGATCAAACCTCCTTATCTCTCTTACCTGCTCCACAACTCGATGTCACAAGAACTATTTGGAGGGGCATCAAAACGTAGAAACAAGAAAGAAAGAGAAGAAAGAAAATTGAATAGGAAAAATTGGAAGGGAAATCTCTGATGATTAGCTCTACACTATCTATTTATTCCGTTAGCGAATGGAGACAATCATTAGAGATGGAGTTGGGAGATGTCCCCCCCCCTCCATTTATTTCAGCCTGACAGAAAATAAATTACCAATATGTGTTTGTTTGTTGAATTGTGTGTACTGTAGAAATAGTAATGGGGGCACCTTAACTTGGTTCTAATGTTTGCAGCAAGGCAAAACTGCACCGATGTCTTACGCAAAAATATCTAGATCCTCACTCCCCCCCCTCTCCTGCTTTTTTATCTTTAAATATAAGATTACCAGGAGATCAGACGGAGCTATGGACGAGTTAATGAATGCTGAGTTTAAAGAAGCGTTTGATGAGTTTGACAAGGTAAAGGAAAACCTTGTATTTTGATAAGTAACTTGTATTTATATTTGAAAAAGAAAACTTGTGTGTTTTGTTAGATCTGCAATAAAAAGAAAGTTCTTGAAACAGATTTCCTAATTTGCAAAACTATTTCGCGTCAAGATATCTGAAGTATTCGTTTTGGCAAAAGTTGTATTGTCAAATTTGCAACAAATCTTTAACCGTTAATTGGTTATCTGTTGATTTTGTTAGCAAAGCTAGATTTGTGCAAGCATGCTACTTTGAGCCTGATTTAAAGATCAACCAGCACCCGGGTATTCCCCCCCCTGCTGACAAAGTACCTGTATACGCGTATACGCCCCTGTATCTGTATCTATCTAGTTATTTGACTTTTGCTAAAAATATCTATATCTAGGTATTTGACTAATCCCTGAAATCCAAAACAGATAATTTCTAATTAGTAAAACTAAAAATAGAATTCAGTTTATCATTTTTTAAATATTTGTCTCTAGTGCTGGTCCTAATTAATCAGATAACTATTCAGTCTATTTCTAAGTTTTTAAATTGAAAAGATTATCTAAATATCCTTGGGGTGGGGTGGTATGTGTGCAAGTTTAGTTCCCATTGGATCACTAAAGTTAAGCTTTCTTTCCATCGACCAGAAAGTGGATTGGTGTACACACGGGTTCAAACCCCGCACCTCACAATAAAGATATTGCAGAAATATCATAAATGACGAAGACGAAAATTTATATTGTAATTCTGAGATAAAAACCTCTGCATTATCACTGTTGGATTATAACCAGCACTACAATAGTAAATCATAATAACAAAAAAACAAAAATACGTGTAAACATTTAAAATACTGCAAATGTACTAAATCATGAAATAGAATAGAAAGAGGAGTATACAACTCCACAAAACGCTTTTTGAAAAAAAGAATAAACCTTTTCTTTTGATACAATTGGCATCTCCCCTTGCTTTAAATAATCAATTTAAGCAGCTGTGATTTCCTGAAAACGACAAGGAACATTCTGTTGCTTTTTGTTTAACAGGATATCATGTAACATGTTGCGATTGCATTTTAATTTACAATATTGGATTTTTTGTGTACTTCGCCCATTTAAAAAAACGAGCTGGTCACATTTGCAGTTTAGGTTAAATAATATTTTAAAGTTGTATATCAGCCGCTTTATTGTCCGGACACAAGTGTTTTTAACAGAGAGACAACATGTTTTTTTTTAGATTAAAAGTTTCGTTATTTTTAAGGATTATGTAGAAAAATGTGCAACCTAATCTGCAAAGTTTTTTAGCAACATCAGCAAAACAAAGTTTCACTTTTTTGCTCAAACTAGAGATTTAAGAAAAAGCAGGAACTATCAAATAATAATTTATAGCTATTTAGTGACCTAACTATATCTACCAAGGAACTATCAGTAGTAAAGTTTATCTATCTATATCTACCAAGGAACTTTTAGTAGTAAACTTTATCTAACAATATCTACCAAGGAACTTTTAGTAGTAAACTTTATCTAACAATATCTACCAAGGAACTATCAGGAGTAAACTTTATCTACCTAGGGATCTAGCTATATCTATCAAGGAACTATTAGGAGTAAACTTTATCTACCTCGGGATCTATCTATATCTACCAAGTAAATATCAGTAGTAAACTTTATCTACCTAGGGATCTATCTATATCTACCAAGTAAATATCAGTAGTAAACTTTATCTACCTTGGGATCTATCTATATCTATCAAGAAACAATAAATAATAAACTATATCTACCTAGGACGGGAGTGGGTCTATATCTACAAAGAAACAATAAATAATAAACTATATCTACCTAGGACGGGAGTGGGTCTATATCTACAAAGAAACAATAAATAATAAACTATATCTACCTAGGACGGGAGTGGGTCTATATCTACAAAGAAACAATAAATAATAAACTATATCTACCTAGGACGGGAGTGGGTCTATATCTACAAAGAAACAATAAATAATAAACTATATCTACCTAGGACGGGAGTGGGTCTATATCTACAAAGAAACAATAAATAATAAACTATATCTACCTAGGACGGGAGTGGGTCTATATCTACAAAGAAACAATAAATAATAAACTATATCTACCTAGGACGGGAGTGGGTCTATATCTACAAAGAAACAATAAATAATAAACTATATCTACCTAGGACGGGAGTGGGTCTATATCTACAAAGAAACAATAAATAATAAACTATATCTACCTAGGACGGGAGTGGGTCTATATCTACAAAGAAACAATAAATAATAAACTATATCTACCTAGGACGGGAGTGGGTCTATATCTACAAAGAAACAATAAATAATAAACTATATCTACCTAGGACGGGAGTGGGTCTATATCTACCAAGAAACAATAAATAATAAACTATATCTACCTAGGACGGGAGTGGGTCTATATCTACCAAGAAACAACTAATACTAAACTATATCTACCTAGGACGGAAGTGGGTCTATATCTACCAAGAAACAACCAATAATTAACTATATCTACCTAGGACGGAAGTAGATCTATATCAACCAAGAAACAAGCAATATTAAACTATATCTACCTAGGACGGGAGTGGGTCTATATCTACCAAGAAACAACCAATACTAAACTATATCTACCTAGGACGGAAGTGGATCTATATCAACCAAAGAACTTCTAGGAGTAATGAGATCCATGGGACAAAACCCGACTGAGGACGAGGTATTATTTCAAAATTTACAAAATTTCAAAATACAGACTGGGTAATTATTTTCTGATTTATGCACCCCTAGTATTTATGCTTAAAGCTCTTGCTTCTATTTTTTAAGTAAATGAAAAAAATGCCTAGTTTCAAGGATATTTAGATAAAATGATGTTGCAGTTCTAGTCCCTTGGGCAATATACATACTTTCTTTTACATCTGCAACAACTGAAGTTTGCATTATTTTATGATTTGTAAAACTTACTTCTACCAATCGATCATCAGGTTCAGGCAGAATTTTCATGATTAAGGATTTGAATTTGATGTTGTTATAAGGTAAGCTGGAACATTAACTTAAGTGAAATATGGCTGGGTAAACTGCACAATGCTGTATTTAATATTTATTGTACTTCCGTTTGACTGTCGTCTTCTCATTCCACAGTTTTATGAGTCCCACTGTAGCAGAATTCATAGTTTAAAATATTATAGTTCTACATCATGTTGCATAGTTGCACTGATATAAGTATAAAATATTACAGTTTAAGGAAATTAATCAGTTTCTTAGTTGTTATATCCTACTGATCCTACTGTTCCTATTGATCCTATTGATCCTACTGATACTACTGATCCTACTGATACTACTGAACCTACTGATCCTACTGATCCTAATGATCCTACTGCCAGGTTCTGGAGCTGGTAATGGAGGTGGATCTGAACGGAGATGGAACAATTGATTTCCAGGAGTTCTTACAAATGATGAAGAAGAAGAGCTCCGAGGAGGACCAGATGGAGGTAAGATAGCTCTGAGGAGGAACCGATGGAGGTAAGATAGCTCCGAGGATCAGATGGAGGTAAGATAGCTTCGAGGGGAGCAGATGGAATTAAGATAGCTCTGAGGAGGAACAGATGTAGGTAAGATAGTTTCGAGGAGGACTAGATGGAGGTAAGATAGCTCCGAGGAGGACTAGATGGAGGTAAGATAGCTCTGAGGAGGACCAGATGGAGGTAAGATAGCACCGAGGAAAAACAGATGGAGGTAAGGTAAGATAGCTCCGAGGAGGACCAGATGGAGGTAAGATAGCTCTGAGGAGGAACCGATGGAGGTAAGATAGCTCCGAGGATCAGATGGAGGTAAGATAGCTTCGAGGGGAGCAGATGGAATTAAGATAGCTCTGAGGAGGAACAGATGTAGGTAAGATAGTTTCGAGGAGGACTAGATGGAGGTAAGATAGCTCCGAGGAGGACTAGATGGAGGTAAGATAGCTCTGAGGAGGACCAGATGGAGGTAAGATAGCACCGAGGAAAAACAGATGGAGGTAAGAATACCTCCGAGGAGAACCAGATGAAGGTAAGATAGCACCGAGGAGGACCAGAGTGACATTAGATAGCTCCAAGGTGGACCAAATGGAGGTAAGATAGCTCCGAGGAGGATCAGATGGAGGTAAGATAGCCCCGAGGAGGACCTGAGGGACATTAGATGGCTCCAAGGTGGATCAAATGGAGGTAAGATAGCTCCGAGGAGAACCAGATGGAGGTAAGATAGCTCCAAGGAGGACCAGATGGAGGTAAGATAGCTCCAAGGAGGTAAGCTAGCTCCCAGGAGGACCGAATGGAGGTTAGATAGCTCAAAAGTGGATCAAATGAAGTTAAAATAGCTCCAAGGAGGAACAGATGGAGGTAAGGTTGCTCCAAGGGGGATCAGATGGAGGTAAGAGAGCTCCAAGAAGGACCAGATTGGGTTGATCTCAGAGAGATAGAGGACAATAAACTTATATGGTTTACATATAATTTTTTTAAATTTTTTTTATCTAATTTTTATCTTAAATCTTTTTAGGACTTGAGAGAAGCTTTTCGAATGTTTGATAGAAACAAAGATGGATTCATTGATCTGGTGGAACTACGGAAGGTAAAGTTTCAAAAATATGGACAATTGGGCTTTTCTCCTTAAACAAGGAAATCCTAAAAGGGATTTCATAAAATCCCCCATTTTCGCAATAATGGGAAAATCAAGTCTCTAACCCAAACCGCCGCGCCTGGGAGTTTTTTTTAGCGACGAGGGGATTTTTTTCAAAGCGGTTATTCTTTATTTAAAAAACTGGAGAGTTTTGCATTATTAAAAAAACCTGGCAATCCCTTTAAAGCATCAACTATTTATTTGCTGTTGGTATTCTCCAGGTGACGAGTATTATGGGAGCTACCTTGTCTACAACAGAGATTCAGGAGTTCATGAAGGAAGCAGATAAGGTAGGGATAGAGACGGTCTAAAATAAGAAGGTAGGAGAGGATGAAGAAAAGGAGAGATGGTTTCAAATAAAGATAAAGGAGAGGATAAAGAAGAAGATATGAGAGTTGGAATGAAATAAAGATGGTATGGAGAAGGTGAAGAAGAAAGTTTGAGAGAGAAAAGCTAGGTGTAGGAGAGAGAAAAGGTAAAAAAAGAAGAATGCGGAGAAAGAATGAGAGATTAGAAGAAAGTGGGAGCAGTTTGGAAAATGATAAGGCTGGGGGAGGAGAAGGTTGAAAAAAAATAAGGTTGAAAAAAAATAAGGTTGGAAAAAGAAAAGGTTGGAGAAGGAGAAGGAAGGATAGGGAGAAGGTTGTAGAAAAGGAAGGAAGGAGAGAGAGAAGATAAATGATGAAAGTTGACAGAGGGACGGTAGGAGACGGTGAAGTTGGAAGAAGAATGAGAGATTAGGAGACAGTAGCAGATGGTTGGATAAGGAGAAGGTGGAATATTGGATAAGGTTGAAGAAGGAGAGGGTAGGAAAGGGAAAGGGAGGTAAAAGTAGGAAACAGGCATGGTTTTGAAAATGAAAAGGTGGGAGAAAGAGAAGGTAGGAAAAAGAAAAGGGTTTGGAAGGAGAAGGATAAGGTTGGAGTAAAAGAAGTTTGCAAAGGAGAAGGTTTTAGAAAAAGAGGTTCGAGAATGAGCATGTTAGAGAAGGAAAAGATTAGAGAAGGAGAAGGTTAGAGAAGGAGAAGGTTAGAGAAGGAAAAGTTTAGAGAAGGAGAAGGTTAGGGAAGGAGGAGGTTAGAAAAGGAGAAGGTTAGAGAAGGAGAAGTTTAAAGAAGGAGAAGGTTAGAGAAGGAGAAGGGTAGAGAAAAGAGAAGGTAAGAGAACGAGAAGGATGGAGACGGAGAAGGATTATTTTTGATAACGAGAAGGAGATTGTAGGAGAAATAGAAGGTTGGAGATTCAGGAGGAGAAGTTTAGATAAGAAAACGGTTCTAAAAGGAGAAGGTTAGATAGGAAGTGTGTAGGAAAAAGAAACTGGTTGGAGAAGGAGAAGGTTCGAGAAGGAGAGAGTGAGAGAAATAAAAGGTAGGACAAGGTAAAGGTTGGAGAAGGAGAAGGCTCGAGAAGAAGAGAGTGAGAGAAATAAGAGGTAGGAAAAGGTAAAGGTTGGAGAAGGAGAAGAATGAGGAAGAAGAAGAAAGAAAATAGTTATTATGAGAAAAAAATTATTAAAAAGATTTTCTAAATTAATATTTGTGGTTTCAGGACGGAAATGGAAAGATTGATTACGATGAGTTTGTCAACATGATGAAACAATACTGATAGATTTATCCAAGGGCAGGATTAATCCTGAGTACTCAGAGATATAATGACAATCATAATCTTGATGTTTGCACAGAACATTTATGTTTACAATTTAAGAAAAGGATCGTGAGGGTTTGTCCTGCTGATTAGAATTATTAAACCAAGGATTTGTATCCTGAATATGTCCTAGAGCCCCTGTGATGTATGTATTGTATATTTATAGTCCTGTAATCTGTTTGTTGAGGAAACTACTACAGATCAGCACCCTGTGTTTTTATCTATTCCTTGCTACACCCTGTATCTGAAATACATATTTTTTAATTCCAAAAATGTATTTTTTCTATATCACATTTTAAACAGTGTTTATTATTGTAAATAATGAGGTGAAATTTAACATATTTTAATCTGCTTATATAAGGAAAATGTAATTGTTAGAATTAAAAAAAAACATTTTTTATAGAGAACTACAAAAAAATTTAACCAATTCAAAGTTTTCAAGGAATGTATTGCACGCCTAATTGACCAAGGTAACCAAATGTAAATGGCGAAGCATAATTTAGAATTTCAAGAAAAATTAGCATACAGGGACATTTTATTGTTTAATTATCCCATGAAGAGTTCAATACAAGAACTATCTAACAAATTATTTTTCTACCTCAGGTAGTTTGTAAAACTTTTTCCGAACCCCAGATGTCATCCTCCGAACCCCAGTTGTCATCCTCCGAACCCCAGATGTAATCATCCGAACCCCAGATGTAATCCTCCGAACCCCAGATGTCATCCTCCGAACCCCAGATGTAATCCTCCGAACCCCAGATGTCATCCTCCGAACCCCAGATGTCATCCTCCGAACCCCAGATGTCATCCTCCGAACCCCAGATGTCATCCTCCGAACCCCAGATGTCATCCTCCGAACCCCAGATGTAATCCCCCGAACCTCACAACAAGAGCATCAGAAAAATTTGCAAGGTTTTGATCCGAGGATTAAGTAAACTTCCCGACGAGTAGCTCACAAAGATCCTGACTTAGGAGACAAAGCTATAAAGTTGCATCATTTTTCATGACCGGGTCGACTTTAAAGTGTTGCGACTCATTGACCTTGATTCTAAGAAATCTAAATGGAGGAAAAGAATTAAAATTTTTCTCTGAAATATCATCTTTTGTTAGTAAGATTGTACAGTAATAACCAGAAAACAATGGAATAGGAAGACGACATTATATTAATACTAAAGTGTATGTAATAGTGTTACAAAGCAACTAGTTTTACTAGACACAAAAAAATCACTTATTTTGTGAAATGGGTCTGTTTACACTGCACAAATGCTGTGTTTCAAGGTCATTGAACTTTTTTGATTCTCAAAAACGTTCTACTATTCCAGAGTTTTCTGGTTATCACTGTAAGTATCTAATTCCAGCAATATATATTCTCATAATTGTGATATTTGCAGCTTTTGTTCTAATTGTTGAATAGTATGCCTATGCACATTGTACTATCTACACATATCATTATAAATACCTGCATATACCTTTCATGTATTTTTATTTAAACCTGACGCTAATATACATTTCCTTAACATATAATTTCATATAATTTGTGAACATTTACATGATTTGTACACTTTGAACTCCCTTTCATGCTGAAAGGGACTGAAAATATTATACCGAGGGATTGTTTAAATTCCACTCTAATATATATTCTATTCTCTTGGTTAGATATCATAAACTATATATAGGCTAAATCAGAGAACAAGAAGGTTTGTTTTGTACATTGCAGTGACCTAGATTCTATCATTGAAGTTTTTGAAGTTTTAATACATAAGAATAACAATCTAGTCTTCTAGTAGAGACGATATAAAGTTAGGATAGTATTCTACTCCTGTAGTAGAAAATTTATAGAACTAGTCATACATTAGAGAAGGTATATACACTATACAGGATAGTATCCTAGTCCTCTACTAGAGAAGTTATATAAAGGTTAGTATCCTAATTCTCTAGTAGAGATGGTATACAGGATAGTATCCTAGTCCTTTACTAGAGAAGGTAGTTACAGGATAGTACCCTAGTCCTCTAGCAGAAAAGGTATACAGGATATTATCCTAATTATCTAGCAGAGAAGATATATACAGGATAGTATCCTAATCCTCTAGTATAGAGGATATATACAGGATAGTATCCTAGTCCTCTAGTATAGAGGATATATACAGGATAGTATCTTAGTCCTCTAGTATAGAGGATATATACAGGATATTATCCTAGTCCTCTAGTAGAGAGGATATATACAGGATAGTATCCTAGTCCTCTAGTTGAGAAGGTATACAGGATAGTATCCTAGTCCTCTAGTAGAGAAAATATATATAGGATAGTATCCTAGTCCTTTAGTGGAGAAGGTATACAGGAAAGTATCCTAGTCCTCTAGTAGAGAAGGTATGCAGGAAAGTCCTCTACGTAGAGAAAGTAACTACAGGACAGTATCCTAGTCCTCTATTAGAGAAGGAATACAGGAAAGTATCCTAGTCCTCTAGTAGAGAAGGTATATAGGAAAGTATCCTAGTCCTGTAGTAGAGAAGGTATACAGGATAATATCCTAGTCCTCGAGTAGAGTAGGTATACAAGATAGTATCCTAGTCCTCTATATAGTAGAGAAGGTATACAGGATAGTATCCTATTCCTCTATTAGAGAAGGTATGCAGAAAAGTATCCTAATCATCTAGCAGAGAAGGTATACGGGATGGTTTTTAGAATACCGGATATAATCTGCCAAAGATGATGACCGGATATAAAGATTAAATGGTTTTGATTGGATAATGACGGCTAGAGCTCTAATCTAGAAGCAACAGCTGTTTATAAATCTGGACATTTAGGTTTCAAGGTCTGTCAGTAGTTACATTTAGTAGTAAATAAAGACGATGCTGGTAGTCTCGTGTACGATGATAGGTTTACTTAATGATTCTCAATTCAATCTAATATTTAAAGGAGGAGTCCAAGGAGG